CCGGTCAATCGAGTTGTGACCTGCAAATGAACATCCATACTGGATGCAAGGTCCGCATCGGCCGATCTTGCAGATCAAAGGAATGTGGCGGCGTATTGTGATTCGCAACGTTCTTCGCCTTCGATCCTCGTCCCTTACTAGCCTCGTCATTGCTTTTCTTCGTCGACGCTCCGTATTGAGTATCGAAACCTTCCCTGGAGTGTGTTGTTCATTCTGAAAGAGCGGACTCCCATGTGTGGGGCCAACTCCCTCCGGCCCCTTTTCCCATCCTGCTTCTCGGGACGGCCCTGCTCACGTGTGGCCGTCGAGGGTTTTCGACTCGAGCGAAAGCTCTCATCGGGCGTGACTTCTGGATCCCTCACTCTTCCAGCTTTCAACTTTCCAGATGGCGGTCAGGGGAATGTTTTTGTCAAGCTGGGCAGCATCATCCGGCTCCGGTCGGTCGGCCTAATGCTGGCGGGCACCCCCTGTACGGTTGTACTTGCAATGAGCCCTATGTCTTCAATTCATCCGGGTGATGAATGAGCTCGAGACTATGAAGTCGAAAGAGGTACGGACAACATTGTCTGTTGCAGAGGTTGGTGAAATCTCCAACGGTTTTCCAATCAGTATTACAATTCTCGGGGGAACCTTCCCCCCGCCGGAAAGGAGGGCATTGCGATCCGTTGGAGACTGTCTGAGCTCGTCCTATTCAAAAGGTCGAAGCCGATGAGCTCGACTCCGGTTCAGATCTGCTTTTTCATTCGATGTGGATAATCTTTTTTCGAAAAGCCACCTCCCTCCGGGACGCGGACCGGCCCGGCGAAACATCGGGTTACCTGGACTGAGCGGGAAAAGTTCCCATAAACATCAGATGAGGAATGCGGTCAACTTGTATGCTGTGCGTGGGCTTAGTGAAGACAAATCGTTCTTGAACCTAGAGAGCGGCTCTAGGAACAACAATGCCCTCCGCAACGCGAGATCTCTGCTCGGAGCTCATTCAAAATTTTCACTTGGGCTTACGCATAGCACCTGAGAGTCTTGCTATGAGGCCCTCAGGGGAAGATCCCGAGTCACAAGTTGCTTGCATGGGCGCATTGAATTGGCGACTAGTGTCGAACGGACCCGAGTTCGGGAGAGCCGAGGTCGAGTGACGAATACGGGTGGGTAGATGGTTTGACTTTGATTTGATTGATCGATTGGCTAATTATTTGCATCGATGAAATTTTGTCCTGCATAGAATACGGGGGAAAATTTTCCCCCCATTCCCGAGCGGGAAAACTCTGTCCGCCTGGGATACGTCACCACCGTCTGCTCCTTCACGGGTAGAACTTTTTATCCACTTACTGCCTGTGACGAAGGCACCTCTGTTAGACGAGGCTAACGCACAATATCCACATGCCCGGAGCATTTGTTCACCGCATGGAAAACATTAAGTAAGTCAGCGGGCTCGACGTTTCACGCGAGTTTTTCCCATACGGCTCAGTCTTGTATCTCCAACATTGAATAAAGACGTGCTCGAACTCACGAGCCGACGACAGGAGCGAGTACAAGGAGCGCAGAAACCGCCCGAGACACAAGCCAGCGACGAGGGTCTTCCGCAATGAAGCGAACAGCAAGTGGATCAGCTCATGACAAACGACGTGGTGGCGACGAAAACCATGTGCCATAAAATTTGAACGTGGCCTCGTCGCACCATGAATCCAAGTCTCGAGGCCCACGAATGGAACATCTAGTGAGGCATGAGCTCCTCCTCCCCTGGCAGTTGTTTCGCGCTTTCCGAGTACGACAGCGTTTTTGTCGTCGAATCGGAATCTCGGTTGGTAAGTGAATCCAGAGCTAGAACCGCGACCCCTCTGTTCGAGACGCATCGGCTGACCCCTTCAGGGAATTCCCCCTATTGGCTGCAGTCGCTAGATTCCGCGAATGGAACGCAGTCGACAACGATATCAGTTCTTTTACGTAAATCGGGTCTCGATTTATCCGTTGGGAAGCGTTGCACAATTCCGAGGGGCAATTATCCCGGCGGGTTCCGAGTCAATGAATGACGCATTCCGTTCTGTTCGAGTACCGATTTGACGCAAGCCTTGAGCTCGAAACGCTGCTTCAGCACTCTGCCGAACTGTTGCCCTGGAAGAGGTTTAGCTGGTTCTGAAGTGATTGCACCTCAATTTTCACGTTCAAGGGCAGATTAAAGCGAGCAGCAAATTCACTCAGCGCTAATCTCGAACCAAATCGGCCTAAGAACTCGCTAACTGCCGATCGGAGGACCGTCGCGATTTTCCAGTTTGACGTTGCATAAGTTTCCTATCCGTTCCCGCATTCCGAGTCGCTCCACCCGCCGCAGCCCCCGATTTCCAGCGGGACGGATCGTTTAGGAATCAATTTTGACTCCGTTATACATAGGTATAAAAGTCCACCCAATTACGTGCACATCATCTCGATGCTGTCTATGATCATGGAAATGGCGACGTCGGAGAGATTATGAAAGTGCGCGAGGAGGATAAACAGGACGCTCGCTCGCGGGATTATGTATCCCCGCAGTATATGCCTTGAAAAGGCTCGATCGGATGCTGTAATCATCCTTGGATCGGGCACAGGTATATTGTTAAAAGTTCATGCACAGAGTGACCTCGGGTGATTTCTGTTTCGATCTTTTCTATTACGGGCTAATGATCGGTAGATAAGGTTAGCTCGAGCGTGACATGCCTAGGGCAATGAGCCATTTACCCGAACGTCTCACTTTTCTCAAACGGTATCGTCTCAGCGTCGAAATATCACGGGGGTAAGCCTGCGGACCCGCCCACAGGGAAGCTTGTGGACAACGTCTCGCGTAGGTGCGGAAGTACACGCCCTGGAAACCCCGTCTCAAGTGACTCGGAGGGATTCTCCGAGAGTTTGGAGAGAGGATCAAACAAAGGCTTGTATCCCAATCATGTCACTGGACCCTGGACTTGATAGGGAGTGAGCGATTTCACGGGCAGAGGTTCGAAGCGACGACGGCTCTCCAAAGCTTCTCCCAATCATCGTCGACATCGGATGCGTCGGATCTTAAATAACTTTTGACAGTTTTGCTCTGGAGCTAATTTTGTCATTGTGAGAATTCTGCAGCCCTCCCAGTTAAGACCACGGATGAAGAAAGATTGAGCTTTGTGACCAAGAGGTCGCAAAACACCGCGATATGGGAGTGAGGCATCAAGCTGATGGGCTCTGATTCAAGGGCATCCCTTCCTCGAACGTATATCGAAGCTCCCGATTCAGCTAAGCATGATAGTTCCCGCCGACGTCAGACATCAATGCATAGTAGATATGCGGTAGATACTAAACAATCAGAGGAATATCGTCGATCGCCGAACCAAGGAGAACTTTCTCAGCCGAATACTCAAGCGTTCAACACGGAGGAATATTTCCCCGCCGATCACGCTCAATCTGCGGGGTTTTTGAGGAAACTCAGCCACACCGCGTCTCTGCCTCCCGAAATATTCTCCATCTGCCTGGATATCCCCAGATCAGAGTGATTCAAGAGCCTTACGATCTCCTAGCACATCTCTCCAAGTCCAATCGAATTCTGGGCGCCAACACTCCATTGGACATCCCTCTCGTTTGAGGGCAATCCTCGGACAATAAGATGGATCCATAGATTGAGGGGCTGATTCTGAAAAACCACCCTGAGCGGTCTCGCGACGAAGGCTTTGACTCTGTGTAGCGCAGATGGGGTCAGGCAGAAGCTTTGGGAACGCCAAAGATTTCGCACCGTACCCAACCCATTGTGAGCAAGGGGCATCAAGCTTGCCCTTCAGAGCCTCCCGCAACTTGCCATAGGCTCCCTCCGGACTCGGAGGATAGCGGTCCCGGCCGATGAAGACAAACAAAAATCAAGAACAGCTCGTACCCTCATTGTGGCGTTCGTCAACGTCCGTCGGGCCATTCATAGGCTCACTCAAGGCTATTCTGGAGGGAGCATGCGTCACCGGGGAAAGGTTTCAGGGAAAGGTTCGCTCAAAGAAAAAGGAGTCACGCTACGAGACGAACTCGAATTCCGATGATGAGCGTAGCAAATAATTGCCTCGGAGCTCATCATGGTCGTTGAGCCCACCAAGGAATGGAGGGCATGTGGTCGGGCAAAAAACTTCGATTTCTTCCCCCTCTTCGAGAGCTCGTCCACGGCATTGATACAGGAATGCAGCGCATGACACGTCTGGTGTTTGTCGAAACCGCCCCGAGGTGACGGACGATGAACAAAGAAACTCCTCATTAATTCTTTTCGGTCGGTGCCGTGCATCAGCCAACTCAGGAGGGTCGCGGGAGTCTTTTTCAAATCAAGTCTTCCTCGAAGGAAGCCAGTGTAGGGAAATCCCGTTCAGCTCCCACAGGGAGATTTGCGCGCGATTATCATTCGCATCGTGGAGGTCCTTGCGGGCCCGGGGCGGGGAGGAAATGTGATAATCGCTCGTTTCTATTTCATCAGGGAAATGACTCCCGAACGCCTCGGATGCACAATGAAAAGCCCATCGAAGATATTTGTCCGTCGAATGCCGACGACCAGAATTCGCCTTAGCTTACGTGGTAAAATCGATGCATATACATAACGATTCGGTATGCTGTACCTTGTGATCGGCATCGATCGTCAGACATTTTCGATCTTCGAGCCCCATCGCGCATGTTCATTCTTGTGCGAGTTTTCGGCAAAGCGTCCGAAAAAGTTCCAGCGCTGACTCGAGACGGATTTTGAGAGATCGATGTCCCGGAACGGACACAACGCAGCGGTGCCGGTCGACGGGAGTTGGATAGAAGGACGCGATGCTCCCACGGATTCAGATTCTCGCGGCGCGCAACCGAGAGTTCTTCATTTCGCGATTCTATTCGCACGCAGGAACCGTGACGAATGCTCACGACTGACCGAGTCTGACAGGAAGCTCCGGAGAGCTCTGTCTTGGCGGGAGCGAGCAAAGCAATGCTCTCGTCAAATATTCTAGTTTGAAAGTTACACAGTACTCGGAGGAAATTATTTCTGAACTCACCGTCAGCGATTGACGCTGGGCGGACCTCTTTACGACTGCGAAAGTCACTCGACGGCAGCTGCAAATCGTTTATCTCGGAGCTGCTAGAGCACTGAGGCACCACGGGGTCGCTTCCTATACTTTATCTGCCCGCTCCAGTGACGTCACGAAAAACCGCCCTGAAGGGAGAGCTCTCACTGAGGCCACGCCTTTGCCCCGCGAGGCGGCAAAGTTCTCACTCGTTCTCCACTCGAATGTAAGCTACTTGGAGATAGATTCCAGGCTCCGATAGTGCAGTTTGTGAGGTGAAACTGCACCTAAAGTTCCTATATCCGATGTATCACTTGAGTCTCTCTTTCACGGGATCGATACGCAGGAGAACCCCAATATCTCCACCGCGACCGGAATGAACTCCCGAGCTCGGGATCTTGCTGTGTCTGGAACTAACTAAAATCTGGGACAGCGATGTCCCTCGAAATCCCGAATCCCGAATCCCGAGACTCCAAATGCTTTAAAGCAGGGGTGTCAGACTTCAATTTTTGGCGAGCCACATTCGAACGCCGCAGGTGCCTGCAGGCCACATTAAAAATTTACTTTCGTATAGAAGGATAATATACCGGGTGGTCCCTCACTCGATTCTTCGCTACTATTCGCGGTATTCTCGGAAGAGCTGAGTTTCGAAGTAAAGGAGGTGGGGACATAATTTTCGAATGTCAAATCGAAAATAAGAATGGGTCCTCCTCCACGTTCTTCTTCTAAACCAAGCCGTTTTCGAGGGAGAGAATCAGGAAAAAAAGGACGCTTCTCCCTTTCCCAGCGAGTTTCCAAAAAATCGAGTTTGAGACTTTTTCTCGTAGGCATCATTCCTGATTTGGTGGGCGAAATGTTTTTTCGATGGGATATCGAAGAGCCAGCGGGAAATCCATCGCATTTTTCCCTCTGAACCTCACTGGTTCCAAGAAAAAATCAAATGACGATTTTGGGACCACCCTGTATGCCTATCGTTCATGGAAGAATGCTTTCCAGCCTACGCGGATCAGGGAAAACTCGTTTGTTCAGTCTTACGGAGGGATTCGTTCCACCGATCTCATTCGATTCCCAAGCACTCATTCGAGATGGTTGACTTCGAGTATGTGGGGGGAATATTTGCGGGCCACGAAGAAATACCTCGTAGGCCACATGTGGCCCGAGGGCCACGGATTTGACACCCCTCGATTACCCCAGCTCAAGTCGGAACAACAGATTTGACGAGCTTTGACATTCAGCAGGAACATCGCTGTCGCCTTCATCTAGGATTCGTATCATTGAGTGGAAAATTTCAACTTGGAGAACCCGCGCGCGAGCACTGCTCAACAAAAAACGAGAAATCAATGATTCTCGATGGCACTTTCAGTTGTGGAATGAATCATCACAATTCAAGCTCCACGGTGGGTCTCCTTGGATCTTTTGCCTAGACGAATTTCTCCTTCTCATCGAACGAAACGTTTATCACGATTCTTTCGACTATCTCTTGACTTCGAGGCGAGTCCAATGCTTTCGCTGGCGTGCTCCGGAAGGTCTTCGAACACTTCAGAACAGTTATGGGTCGTTGCTCGACTTAGAAACGAAATTGACTCAGCCAGGGCCCCTCCAATTCTGGATATCTTTCACCATTAGGTCTCGTTCTTACCCAGTAACAAGATATTATCTCAGCCCGCCGCTCCACTCGAGATGAAGGCCACAGATAAGTCTCGTGTCAGCCGCAGGAACCTTTTCGAAGTACTCTCGAGTATGTAAAACCGCCCAGCTCCAAGTAAATCTAAAGAAAAAATAACGATCGAGTCAACACTCGAGCCAGCGCGGCCAATTCCTCGACAAGTCTTCTACAGCGATTCGGTTCCGCGCTGCAAGATCGTCGTCGACTCCGGAAGGGCCACTCCCAGACCTGTCTGAGAGCACAATCGACTCTGTGGTACAACCTTCGAATAAAATCGCCTCAAGGCCGAAATGAACTCATAACACATGTTCAATGATACGCTCATCTCCGAGGTGATCCGGGTCGAGCCTGAATCGCTTCCGAAAAGAGCTTATGGGGTTCCTCGATGCCAGCGATTCAGCGTCCCATCCAGGTTGGAGATTCAATTTGGACGATCCTTGCCAAAATTCCTATAAGGAGAATCCGTATCCGGAATGACCTCTCATAGAAGCTCTGGATTAGTTATCGGACAGACTATGACAAACCGAGAAACAGACAAATCGAACATCCGCTATTCCTCCGACACAGAGCTCTCGCTTCTTGTTCTGCAAGTGAGATTCTCAGCTTGCGTTCGAGAATGCGAAGCGCCCGCATCTAACTTTATCGTGGGTCAAGCTGGACCTGTCCTCCGACAGCCGGAACGCTCGGGATATTGAAGGCAACTTTCGGTTCGCCGAAGCGGGAGCGTTGAGAATGACCGTCGCTCAGGCGCTGGCCCTTGGGCTCTCATCTCATTTCCTTCATTTGTGTCCATAAAGCGGATGAGGAGGATTATGAAAACTCGAATAAAAACCAGAGGTGTGTTCAATGAAATGGAATGAGTTCCGCAACTTCCCCTTATCAACGAAACTAAGACCGAATTTCATGGGTCTCATCCATCCCTGCTCGTTGAGGCCCTGAGGTGGCGTTTCGAAAGTGAGTCGACAAACGTCGGTCAACCAGAGACTACAGCCTGCCAAGCTGATGACCAGTCCCCTGAATCGCAGACGGAGGCTTCCACAATATGTGGATATGTTTCCACCGATGAAGCGCGGGTTCGAGCTCCAGTTTCCTTGGTATACCACATGACAGTCAGATCCTGGAATCCGGATCACAGGAGAATGACATTCGGGAAGGCGAGATCCTAGCCAGAGCCGTCGGGAGAAGAAATTCCACTCCCGATTCTGTACTCGCCTTCCGTTCTCGATAATGTTTCGTGAAAGTATTTAGTTTATTTTTGGAAGAGAAAATCCCTCAAAAAAGAGAGGAAAGAGCTTGCCTCAATCGTGAAACGTTCGACGATTGGAGTCGTGGGTGAGTCCTCTCATCTAGGCCTTGATTGACCGTGTGACCGATCAGACAGAGGGATTATGACTCGGGGCGAAAGAAATCGAGAACATTTTCGGCAGTCATGCAGTCCGATAGGGCGGCGAAACTAGCTTGGGCGTATATCAGGTACTCGGAAATCAAACTCTGTGACGCTTTGTATGTGGGACAGGAGTGAAATTGAACCGAAAAATCAGTCAATTGTCCAGGTCCGCTGGAGCAATCGAGGCCCATATCGGGTGTGCGACAAAAATCATGCTGCTTTATGAGGGATGCGGATTCCACTGAAGCCGAACTTGAGAACGAATGAAGCAGGGATCTCCCAGAAATCACTCCCTGTCGAGCCAATGCGCCTGAATGATGGCTTCCGAAGCTCTCATCGAGCCAAATGGCTCATTATCCTTCCCACGAGTTCTGGCATTGCGAACTCTTACTTAGAGATACAATTTAATTCTTGCGTTCTGCCAGCTCTTCTGAATAACGCACTCACCCAAAGAGGCATAGCTGGGCTGTAGGTCCTCCTTCCCGAAAGTCTGGAAAGGGAGTCGAAACTCGTTCATCAAGCAACTGGAAGAAGAATCTTTTTTTATTCTTCACGGTGTGACGCCGCGCGATGCTTTCTTCTTTATCGGGAGATTCGCCTGATTATTCAAAGATCTGTGAGGGAGTGCTTATCTGGCTTCCCTCCCGCCCGATACGATAGAGGATTGGCATCAAAGACCGGCTCGCTTCGAGCCGTGCGACTCCCGCCGCAGGGATACGATTCCTCAGATTGAAAGTCATCGAAGAAAACATTCCTGCTTTGGATGTCCGAATATACTGTAAATGCAATCGGAGTCGGCCGTCGTCCCCCAACTTGGTCGACTATCTGAAGGTGGGGATGATTCTAGAAGGATTCGGCGCAACGCTCAGAGTGTCGCGGAGGTTCACGATCAGCACACGGGCGACCGTGACAAACAGTCGCGGGGGAACTTGAAGGACCGGTCGAGCGTGCACGGCGAAGATGGAGAAGGAGTCGAACCGAAGGAGGTAACGTTCTGCCCTGTTAGTAGGCGAGACTGTTGGTCGCTCTTCTGAAAGAAAAAGGATCTCCTCTCGGTCGATACTTCGGAACGATATCGAGCGTGCGGACGCGATCGGAGGAATCCCGGGACCTTGGAAACCACTGCTCCTCGGCGGAGCTTCAAGCGTTATCATCGGAGCAGCGCCCGATTAGCACCGGGCTGCGAGTAGAGATCATCACGATCATTGTCCACGATAGGCGACAGATTTCCTTGAGGCGCCGTGGAACGGGCTTTTCGTATATCGTTCCTTCGTCGCCGCTCTAACGTTGAGGAGAATAACTCCATCCGTCCGGGAACACCGAACTCGAGACGGGGAGGACTCATGCTGTGCTTGGGTTGATGATACCTGTGATTTTCGATAATCACGAATTTCGTGGCTCCTACAGAAGTTTCGCCGCCTGACTGCCTGAGTCTGTAAAACAAAAATGAATGGTTATGCACCGGATAGGCTTGTTTTTCGCGGCCCCGATGCGCTTTCTGTTTTTTTTCCATCTCCAGAGGAGGTTGTGTCCAGTACAGAAGTGATTAGGGTCATTCTAATGACCCCGATGAGTCTCACCTCTTTGCGAGCGCCTGAAGACCGCGCGTATACGGCTCGAGCCTCCTGATCCTCGTCGCACAGGTTCCCACGTCCTAGTAAGTCTCTGCGCCTCTCGAGCGGGAGTCGATGCGCGGGAGGGAGTACTCAGGGCTTTCTTGAGCGTGGAGGGGCGACAAGTGGATAAATCTACTTTGGGAACGGCTTCCGTGAGCTTTGGAACCCCTGCTCCTCGGAGCTCCGAGAGCCATCATCGGAGGAGCGCCCGCCCGAATAGGATTGCGCTGCAAGCAGAGATCATCACGATCATTGTTTTCACTACACACAGGTCTCGAGGTTGTGCGGCGACCGGCCCTCAAGTAATTCGCGCGGAGTGTGAGGACTTTTTTTCGCGGAGAATTCGCGGGAGTTGAGGCGACAGCATCGACTGCGGAAAAGCGAAACGTCATGTCGGCGCTCGTGCGGCGCATGAGTGCCTTGCTCATACAGCCGAAGGGCTCCCTGCTCCGTTTTTCGGCCGTCGCTGAGAAGAGCGACGTGAAGCAAAGTGGCGATGTAGAAAAGAAGAGCGACAAGACGCGGAGAGAGAAACAGAATTTCACTAATGTCGAAGGTCTCAAGCAGTTCTTCGATGAGGATAATTTCTTCGAAGACAGAGTCCGGAGCGGTCGCAGTTGGAATCTCGACGAGCTTCGGATAAAATCGAACTCAGATCTACACAAACTCTGGTATGTTCTTCTGAAGGAGAAAAACATGTTACTGACGCTGCAGGCCGCCGCAAAGGAAGCCGTCGAAGTTATGCCCAACGAGGAACGGATCGATCGCGTGGAGATCTCGATGGAGAATCTGGAGTTGGTCGTTCGAGAAAGAAACAAGGCGTACTTCGACCTGGAGGTCGGGGAGACCGGCGAGCAGCCCGTTTTTGTCCACACCAACTGGATGGGCCTACAGACTTTGCGCGTTGCGACTCCACACTATTTACCGCAGAGATACAACAAGAGTTTCAACGAGAGGCATCCGTTGCCGTTCAACGATCGGAACCAAAGCTGGTTCCTCAATCACTACAGGGAGAAGAGGTCGGCTCTGAAACGCCGAGAATCGAATCGCGCCACGCGTCACGTATGTCGCCTCCTCAGACGAAATCCCAATGCGGACATTGACGCTCTGAGAGAACGCTACCCAACAGTGGATGTCGACGCAGAGAAAGCAAGGTTGCATTACAAGGGGGAAATCTGAACTGTCTACAACATCAAATAAAATAGTTCTCAGTGATCAAGATTCGCTCTGCATCTTCCTTCGTATTTCCAGCTCGGCTCTGCGGAGCGACAGCTCCCACAGCTTCCGCGGCGCTCTGGCGCCGGCTCAAGGGGTTTGAACGTGAGGGAAGGGGGCATCCTCCATGAGGCTGCAAGCTAACCTGAACTAGGGTCATTATGACTTCCACTGCTCCTGCCTGGGTGCGCCGCAGTCCGAGAATACCTGCTCTGTGAAATTAATCCCCCTCGGGGGTGCACGTGTCCCCGAAATCCGTGACGAGCTGAGAGGACTGACTAGAGAAATCGGGAACTATCCTGTGGCTGATATTCGCAGAGGAAGGGTGCCTCTCATATGCCGCACAATAATCGGAACAGATTGCGAGAGATCATGTTTCTGCCGGATGTTTTCGGATGCACGAATTAATTTTCTGGCGTCTGGCGGCGGATGGCGGAGGAATGAAGGAGAACGAGTAACGAAAGCACTCGATCCCAGGCAAGGACCGTCTCTGATAAGGTTAAGGTCGAGCAAGGCTCGATCTCAGACATATGGAATTGGAGTGAACAGAAAGAACAGGACTAGGTGATTGAGGAGGAAGACTCCATTCCGAGGTCTCGCCCTGATTACCGGTAGACAGCGTAGTGGCAGTGAGTTCCCATCTTTCTTAAGACTTCGATGCAGAGTTCCTAATGCGCCCGAAGCATCTCGACACCTCAATGTCTGCAGTGGTACCCGGGAGACCAAATTTTCGATAGAACGCATGGGAGGATTCGGTGTACGGTGTTGTGATTAGTGATAACGGAACCTCAGTCCCTGATTGCGCCTGAAGCATCTAAATCATCACTGGAGAGAGCCTCTCTACTTTCTCATCTTCCGACTCCCGAAAGCGGCTCGGAGGGCACTTTAGGAGTCACTTTCGATTCTCAGAACTCCAGTGCCCTTTCAGCCATGAAGGGAACACAGAATCGAGAGCTCATCTCGAGGTTGTGCATGGCAGCATTTCCTCCATTCACGATTGAATCTGCATTCTCCGTCACTACGCTTCAGAACTGATGGAGCTGAAAATCATTCTGATACATGCTTATTATTCAACTTAACAGTGGAATGCAGGCCGCACTTTATTAAATCTGCATTTAGCTTTCGAGAAGCATCTGCGACCTCTTCCGCGACCCTCCCGGATTCCCGGAGGTGGCCGCCAGTAGGGCAGCTTTGCACCACAAGTTCTGACTCGCCCTCGGGAAGAAAGAAGCTGAACAGCTGCTCAACGCGATCCGCGTAGGGCCATATGATAGCCCGGAAATCCACTGATTGGGCGAACAAGCATTCGAACAGGCAGAAGTCAGCTCGCAAGAGGGTGTAGAAGTCATATTGGAGCGTCAACAGGGGGTGATCGCGTTTTCTCTTATCATTGGTAACTCGAAACGGGCTCTCAACATTGCCTTCTGACCTCTCCCTGACCCATTTCAGAGGATGGAATGGCACAGCAGCAAGCTCGTTGTTCGGTCGTAAGCGTGCTCTGCATATCCGAGTCTCACAGATGAGGTCGATGGACTCTTGTGATAAATTATAAGTCTTCGAAGAAGCCACGCATCACGAACAGAGATTTCGAGCTAAGCCAGAGGAAATGATGCCGCGGCACAATCGCATGTAGACTGAGAGGTACAGAAGATCGTCGATCCAGACCTGTTGCGGATAGGCAGCCTTATATTCTCCCGATTATTCAAGGAGGATTCAAATCCATCCTGGCTAGTACCCCCGGAGCGGCAGAAGCAGACACCAGCAGGGGCGCTTCTATTATATCGCAGAATCCCGACTCATGCCTGCACCCGAGTTCTGAACAAGGAAATCTCCAATTTTCTGATTCTCTGAAGGGGAAGTATCAGGCAGCCTCGGGAATCGAACCTGGGGTCAAAACCTCCCCAACTTCGGCGACGTCCCCATGGCGCACGGCGACATGCGTTGCACGCGCTGACCACTCGGCCTCAACGCGGCTGATTGAGCAGAATTCGGGATGGCAGAAGGAGAGAGTTCTCGCGAGATAATTCGGACGTGCTCACGCCGGGATGGCCGTCCACGAAATCGCCTCGTAATTATCCGTATTGGCGGTCGGAGTTCATAAATTTTCCCAAGTGTTCCGTTCTTGACAGCTGACTATAATTCATCGGCTTGCTGGAAGAGATTCAGAACGCCTGAAAGGTGAAATACATACAACAAGAAAAAGTCTGTATGCGCAACCCATCATGATATCACATCGCAAAGTTATGTACCCGACTGCCCGAGTCGCTCCCTCGATCGTTGTCCGATCGGCTGACTGACTGACTGACTTTTCGAGGGGTCGACCACATCGTCAGTTCACCTGGATCGTCGACCGTAGATGGATCTATGCGTGCGGCGATTGCGGCACGTCTCGCTTCCTTTTTCGTTCGTCTGGTTGGGTACACTTTCGGTCAGCCGCTCATTGTAGTTCAGGTAACAGTGCATCGACCAACAGAGCCCCTCGCTCTGATCGGGATCCGGGGCCCAGAAAAGCTTCCGTACTGTCAGCCGAGCGAGTGAGGATATTCGGACTGGAAAGTCTGGAGTTTGAGTTGCTTAGCATGTCCCATCGATTCCCGCGTTTGAGCGGCGGATTTTTTCGGTAGGACGAAACTGGCAGACTGGTCGAGTCTGCGAAGCGGAGTCATTCTTCACCAGAACTGTTTGGACGTTTTCAAACGATGGCTGCAGGAGAACGCTCTGAGCTGTGTTGGAAGTTCATTGTTTACTCCGAGGAGAAAGCGAGGTCCGGCTATGCGCGATCCGCGGTCTAGTTCTAGTGGTCATGATCTGAAGTCATGATTCAAGTCTCATTCAGGCCACTGATGATGACTCGACCGGCGATCACTTCGGAGCGAGAAAAATCGTGTTTACCCGTTTCTTCCGAGTTTTTCTGGAAGATGGAAAGCGATCGTCGACCACGAAAACAGCAATGTCCAGCGGGGTCGTTGACCGCAACGGGTCTCACCGGAGCACGAGATACAACCCTTTCTTTGTGATTTTTCCCTTCGGATGGTTACAGTTACTCGATGCTGTACGTATGCGCAAGGGACGCCCAAAAGGAGGGAGAGAGGACGCGCAAGGCCAGAAAATAAAAGGCAAGCATGAAGCAAGATGTTTCAGTCCGAAACTTCTACCGCCATGAAAGTGTTGCTTGTTGGAGCGGCCCTGGTCTGCGCTTGTGCTGCGCACAGTCAACTTTATGTCCAGCGCATAAAGAAGAGGAATTCCCACCTCAGTCATCCCCCTGCCGAGCAGAATCCCCCGCTCCCCGATCTCTACGGGGCTGGCTCCCAGACCCAGTACACTCAACTATACGGCGGGGCACCTCAGGATAGTTACAGGCAGCTATACGGAGGATCAGCTCAGCAGCAGCAGCAACAGCGAGGCGGCGGCGGTGGAGGCTACGGTAGGCCGGAGCCCGAAGAAGATGAGTACGAGCCCGGCTACGGCCAGCAAGTCCCTACGCGAGCTCCCCCCTCCAAAAGACCGATTTCCTACCCGAGACCAACCCAGAATCCAGTGAAGACCACTCGACAGCCCTGGAGCCACCAACAGACAATTACGCACCGCCAACCGAATCCTGGCTACCAGCCGCAAAAGCTTTCAACGACCCGCAGACCGATCTCATACCCACGTCCGACTGCTCGCACCACGACCACAACCCGGCGCCCGAGCGGATATCCCGGCGCGGACCCAGAGGATCTGGACACTCCCGGCTATGGACAGCCCCCGAGGCAGCCCGCTTACCCTCAACCCACTTACCCTCAACCCACCTATCCCCAACCCACAGCTCAGAAGAAACCCTCGAACGGCGGTTACGGTAACGATCTCGATGATCTCGAACAACCTGGCTACGGCGGACGTCCGACGACGTCGACCGCAAAGCAGACGTCCGGAGGAGGCTACGGCAATGCCGATCTCGAAGACGTCGAGACCGGTGGTTACGGGGGACCTGCACGCCAGACTCAAGACATCTATGGAAACGGACAATTGTATCCAGCGGAGTCCCAAGTAGTCCCGAGGCGGAAATCTTCGTCCTCGTACAACGTCGCCCAGGAAATTCCCGACCCGGCTGCTTCAACTCAGGCGAATTTCTTCGAGGCCCGATCCAACCCCGATTACTTCCCTCACACCAGATGGAATACCCCAGCAATCGCTACGGCGCCAGCGTTCCAGTTGCAGACCGTCCAGCAGCCATTGGGCTATCTGGTTGTGGATCATGCAGCCCAATGGTGAAGATTGTGAGGAGCAGCAGATGATCTCCAGGCAGATTCTCTCTTGAGCATGCCTGCAACTATTTATTGACGCCATCAAGCTTCCATCGAAGACTAGAGAGATGAATAAACTCGACGCTTCTGACGAGTGCCTGTCTTCCTTCCATTCTATTAATGCAATGATTCGAGATGCCGATCGGGCTTTGTCATTCCATCAAGCTTTATTTTCGACGTTGGTCCTCATCATAAGGGTAATAGTTGGGTGATAATAAGATAATAGATGACTGAAAGGGCTAAAACTAGGTATGTATTGTCACGAAACAGAAACGAGCGAAAGAACTGATTGGGATCGTCACGTAAACTAGAGACGCATAAATAAAGGATGAATATCTACAAGATGCGCGAGAATAAATAGAACGAGGCTTAACGATCTTCTGATACCTCGACTGAAATCATCCGAGAACATAGTTCAACAGAGGTGATATAGTTCTCCGAATGACAGCTCGAACTCGACTCCGAGCCCACGTCACCGAGATGGGATCTTTTTCGTGGGGTGTCCGCATGTCGTGCCCGTGAGCTCCGTTCCGAATCGATATGACGGTTATACCTTCTGTTCCGGTGAGAATTCCTCCGTCGTACCATGGATCTCGCTGGTTGTTTCTGTGTGAAAGAATATTTCTGGCTACTGAACCTGTTACGATATCGGGCGTGGTAAGCCGCTGGGACGAACGACACATGCCCATCGAGCTGGGTAGGTGTTCCTCCTCGGTCGATCAAATTCTAAATCGATTGAAAGTCGGGAGTCTTACGTGACGACGATGTTGTCCACCGTTGCCAGTCCCGTGGCGCCACCGTATATCCTTTTCAGACGCTGGTCGTCAGGCCACACTCCGAACTTATTCAAGCATTTCCTCTGGACTTTTTTCAAGTCCCAGGATTTGGGATTGAACATGTCGTCCATTCCATCCGAGCAGACGGGCATGATGAGTTCCGTGCAGGCCTGTAGAGGGATTAGAGATACCCAGTTTCAAAGTGATTCGCCGACGAGCTCGTCCAATGCTCGGCTGGTTCAACGCTCTTATTCAAAGTTCTGACCTGGAAACCCCAGCCCGCGTTGTTACGCAGCGTATTATCCAACGAGTAACAGACGACTTCACCGGTATGATTGTAGAGGACCGACACGGCTTTGTGCGCGGCTCTCATGAGGTCTCGATCGCTTTGTTGATGGTTCCAAAGCTTGCTGCACGCTTCCTACAAGGGGAAATGAGATTTCAGGCGTCATCAGACCGTCCTGTCGCCGTTAATGAATACGACGATCGCAGGAGCTTCCGACTCACTTTCACCGGATATGCGGGTAATTTTCCGAACAAGTCCGTCTCATACGGAAAGTCGAGCATCGATATCGTTCTAAATGACTCCTTCAGCCATCGGAACAGGTTCGAAATGTTGTCTCCGCGCACCGGCTGACACGTGTTAAACGCGTCGGCCAGATGAGCCATGCCGTCTCCTGGAAGTCCGGAGATTCCTTTCAGAGCTCGGTGAGAACCGCGACAGTGAGCTTGCGAAATTGCGTAAATCGCTCCCAGATCCTCCGATCGAACTCACGTGACGTCGCCATGGTCTGAAGAACATTCCAAATTCGACGGATGCTTTGAACGCATGTTTCAGATTCGCTTCTGAACACCGAGGTTACGGCTTTGAGGAATTTCCCACATGGAACTTCTCCGCTATAGAAGCCGATAGGTGCACTCGATGCATACGCTCTGGAAAAAAGTTCCGTGTCACAAATTGCACAACACTCACCGATCCGGAAGTAGGAGGTTGATGACTGGGGTCGCCTACTCACAGTTTCGCTATATGCGGGTACTTGACCCTCATCCAGACAGCGAGCATTCCCGAATAGCCCGCGCCCCACACAACGATCTCGCTTTTAGTTGCTCCGGTGTGGTTTGCTTTCAAATGTGAAAGTATCGCAGCGTAATCCGCCAATGCCTGCTCGGTCGATAGGTAACCCCGTCGCTCAGACCCCTGCGGAAAATCCCCCCCTTCAGTTGAATTATCCGTTAAATTTCCCTCGCCTCCCAAGCCCCTCGAAACATCTGATGGGAGCCTCGGTGACGGAGCTCAGCACTGAGGCATCGTCCTATTGATATATGTTCTTACGTAAAACGATGCATCCCCATACGGCAGAGATTCTCCGTAATAGCGATGCTCCGCGAAAACCACGAGGGCTCTGAACTCTCTTGCCCAGGTAAACATCAGACCCTGCGGATAGATGGGAATGATCACTGGCAAGTCCTTCGGAGACCTTGAGTGCTTCAAACTCACGACCGGGACTTACTGTTTGTCGAGCGTGTAGTTCTACGTTCATTTCCCCGCCGCAGTAGAAAAAAATCGGACCCCCAGCCTGGAACGTTTTGTCGGACATGAGGTACTTCTGCCGAAACGTATCCCGTTTGTGAAAACCGAAGTGATCGACGCGTTGCTCGAAATACTGCACGGATAGATCAGAAAATTCGTCGCATCCGACACCGGTCGTCAGAACGAAGAGAACGAGAGCACTGGTATGGGCGAGCGTCATTATGGGGCAGTACACTCCGACAGCGCTTGTTTGGTGTCGAAGCTCACCGGGAGAGATGCATTGGCACAGAATTAAACGACTCGACGCGACTTCTGACTGCACTGAAGTTTGCCACTTGGCAAGTCTTCAGTTCTAGAAAAGGGGGCCCGGTAAGAAAGGGAATGTTTTAGGAAGGGGATCGAGGAACAAACGACCAGTCGACAGAGCGTGAAAACGGTATTCGAACATCGTGAACGAACGGAAGCATAAGTAGTTCTGTGTCCACGTGAATCGGATCATCAGATTCAAGATTAGGAACTTCTCAACATTCTGTACGATGGCGGAAAGAGAACAAGAGCAGGGCTCGAGTCGCGTCAGAAACTGTGCTTTCTGTTTCGTTCCGTCTGACTGAGAGAGACTTTCGATTGGTTTCCCACAACGATGCGGAGATGGAAATTGGAAATTCGATTCAAAATTTGATAGGGACGAAGTGTGAGAAATGAACGCTGCCGGAGACAAGGACGGACACAGTCCGTCAAGAGCTCGCTGCACGAGAAGAATGCGTCTCACGCCGCTCCAAGAGATCGAAGACCGAATGGTTCGGGGAAAGAGAGCGAAAAAATATCGGAATTTCACGATCAGCTCGTTTGCCGACGAAAAACCGAGCATCACCTCCCCTGACTGTCACGGCGACTCCAGACTCAACTTTCTTTCGGGTCAACGCATGTTCCTGAGCAGGATTAGTGAATAGATGCCCTCGCAATCTTCAGAATGCGAAAATCGAAGACCGTGCTATTCTTTCAACGTATGTCCGATGGACTCCCCATTGCCACTTTCGAGGGTAGAGGTCAAAATCGCCCAACCTCCCCCCCGAATACGAATCTCTATCCTCAATGAACATTTCAGGCTCGTTGGATCGAGATGGTTTTGTGTCTCACTGCCTCCTATACTCCTCCGTGATCGACTGCTTGAGAAACAGACAGGAACACAAGAAATAACGAATTGACAAGAGCTCTAGCTCCCGATCCCGATGTCACGGCTCCAGGCAACTTCGTCGACTCTGGAGAAGAATCCGTGAATTGTGAGAAATTCCTACGGGAGATCTGAGAGACTCGGGTTATAGTGATAGCCCTCCTCTCCTTCTTATCTCTCGAAATTTGGGACGATCGAACGATACTCAATTGAAGAGCTGGGAGAATACTTCGACTTTTTATTCAGAACTGGACGAGTTCGTCCCCGGCCTTGACTCGGTTCGCCGCCGCGAATCTCATCGCAGCCGCTGATTCGCGGACATGCAAGCGAATTGCGAACACGAAATATCACTCCTCCATTCTCTCGATATGTTCTTACTTCTCCTCCTGAAGGAGCCCCTCTTTAAATGTTTCGACAAAAGCGGCGCCAGCAGGCGGAGAAAATCTCGGATCCAGCGTATAATGCTACTATTTACAGACTAGCTTCCCAATCTTTCTGTCTCCGGCTGCATCATCTGATCGTCTCCTCACGTGGTTAGTTGAAGCGGAAGTGAACACGTCGCGGATTCACAGAATTGTTGACATGTCGAAGAAGAAGAGAACGAAAAAAGCTTTCCGAGAAAATCAAAATGAGGTTATCGCGACTGGAACATCCTTTGTCCGACGGAGCGTGACTCTAGCCGTGGGCAAACAAAACTTCACAACTGGTCATTTGGACGGAGTTCCCGATCTTAGTTTCCGATACCGGCCGCGCTTCCTCGCCCATGGGCTCAAACGGGGAGGATAAAAATACAATCAAATCTCTCAGTGGAGAAACAAAAGCATCACACTTTTCATCCCCTCTCTCTTATGAGAAGATTCCTTACAGAAGCTAATTGTTTGCCTTAAGTATGTCTCGATCCAGAAGCGCTTGGCGGTCGCACTAAGACGGCGCGGCGTTACAGACCCACGCGCGAACTCTTCTCGCTCAACTTGAAGCCTCCGGCAAACCTCTTCCAGAGGCACCGTCTTCACTTCTCCCGACACCAGTCCGAGCAGTAGCGGGATTCCTGGCTGGGATACTTATCTATTACAATTTTTTTCCATCAGATTCAGTTCTCCTCATGTTGCGCTGGTGAATGATGGTTGGCGACGCAGCACACAGAGGGGATCCGAGCGGTTTACCAGGCTACTCAAGTCTCGAACTCGAGTCATCATCATGCACGAATCCTGGTGCCTCGTGCGAGGAAACCCTTCCCGAGCTCATCCTCAATCAATCATTTGGGAACGATTCCTGAGATATCTTAGACCACCAAGTTCAGCATCACGAATACAGGCTACTTGTTGCCGGATCTTAGTTTTCACGGGATATCTAGATTGCCACAAGATTTTTAGAAGACAACCAGAGGCGGGTTGTAAATGTGGGCTGGGTATCCGTAGTCCCGGGTCGTGGACACCATGAACCTGCGGGTTTAGAGGGGGATGTATTATCGAGTAATTGCTCGAAACGGCCCCATATAGCAAAGCCATTACTTCTCAACTGCTCATGAAAGAGATCCTTCGATGGCGTCCCCAGGACCTGGATGACTTACGATGATCCGTAGAACGGGATCATAGTGTAGACAAGCTGACTCACGGAAACTACCACAAAACTTAGGTGTGGGCGATTAAGTACGATGATGAGCTGCGGGGCGTAAGAAATTAGAAGGTATGAACCTGGCACGGAACCGGACCTGGCCCTTTCGAGCTCGGCGTTTTCTCTGACGAGCCGATAGAGCTCACCTTCCACAAACGATTAGCAACAACGTGCGAGATTCTTTCCGAGGCGCATATGAGAGCAAAAATGGGTGCGATCTCGGCTTTTTCGACAAGTTGGCACAGGTGAGAACGAAGAGCCGCCAGTCCCAATATCGGCATTGTCAAGAGTGTCACAGCTGGAAGTTCAAAGTAATCAGTCATCACGGTTTCGGGTTTCCTATACTAAAGGGCATAAGTGTATATCTCCGAATCTAGTCACTCAGAATACCTCCGTAGTAGCATATCACTGTGAATACTGTATTCAGCAGAAATACGAAGCTAAAGGCTAGACAAGCGAAGCCGAAGACGGCCACCGTGGGATCCAACGGTCGGACACATCTCGTCAGCACCGTGCTGACGATCACGCCGAATAGATATGAAAATCCGAGCGCGACCAATGACACTCTCGCAAACTGAGTCGAATCCCAGCCGAAGGAGTCCGACATGAAGGCGGCTCGTACTTCGCTGAAAACTGGACACGTGAATCCCTTATTATTTGATTGGACATGTCAATTGAAGTTGCCCGGCTCAGACTCATGTTATGGGTTTGGATTAATGGTTCAAGATGGCCCGTGGGTTGGGAGGGTTTCGCTGTGACCCTGGGGAACGAGGGCGCAGCCATCCTTTGACTTCCGGTGAACGAGATTCGTGCACGTCAAACTGAGACGTCCGGTCAAATACAAAATCTACTCATGAAAGAAGCCAACGATGGGAAATCCATATGAGCGACTCTGGGAGCAAGTCAAGCATTTCAGACCGAGCCTCCTGGCAGTATCGGGACTTTGAAGCGATTATTCAGGTACTCACAATCGAAATAAAATGGGACCGTGGACAGGAAGCATATAAGTAAGCAGAGCTGAATCCGGCCTCTGCACGGTCGCTTTCTGGTGAAGCACATGATTGTCTCGTTGAGGCTCACGAGACCCATGGAGCATTTGATGCGTTGTTTGACCGAATGGGACTCGAAACCCTCCGCATATACCTCCGAGAAGAAGAAACTCAGGATAACGGCTGCGGAAAGGATGCCCATAGCCCACAGCCCAATATATCGATGGTCCGCCTGGAAGATTCGGAGCTCTCAGGAGTCCCGCTCATATTCCCAGGTCGGATGGATAACGGAACTTCGGTAGAAACTCTGAGAATGATCTTTACGGCGGATAGCAGGTACACATCGAGCGTTTGGGCCACCATTTCGGGAAACAACAAGCAGAACTGGTAGCAGACAAATCTCCAACGGCGAGCGTTTCCAATGGAGGAAGTCCCTATGTGGGTACAGGTGATCGTAGACATCAGGATCTCGCCACCTGCGACGGAATAATTCTCGCTTACGAGCATTCATGAGAATAGTGAGGGAGACATGCACACCGGGGGGCTTGTACGACCGGCTCATAGGAGATCTGCTCAGAGCTTTCCGAAATATTTGAATTATTAGGAAAAGCGAAAAGTTCGTATCGTTGTTTACCTCATCTCCAAGACAAAAAACGCTACGAACTTTTTGATTTACCTAATATTATTTTCCAAGCTCATTACCTGAAACAGCGAGCGGCACTGCGGCCAGGAAAGTGAAGGAGGTATCGACCTCGACGAAATAGATTGTAATATAGATCAACGCGTTTGCCAGCCACGATCCGATGAGACACAATAAGGCTGCGTGCTTCACTCCATATTTCACGAGGTACTGACTCAAGAGGAAAACCAAAATCGTGCCTGGGGAAGATCACATCTCGCGTTATTGGAAGAGCTCCTCGGGAACCCCGATTTCTGTTTCCTGACCCTCTGAGTCAGAGCTAACGATCAAGTTCGTCTCTGAGGGACCGATGCGGACTCATCGAAACCTCACCTGCGGCGTATTCGACTCCCAAGCGGGCATCTATCAGTGCATCCGACGTTTTCTTGAGATCATCCGCTTTGACATCCTCCAATCTGAGCAGCTCTTCGCATTGAGTTTCGTTCAACTTGAGGACGGATAAGCATTGCTTGATACGGAAAGCCTGAAAGACGACGAAGGAAGTAAGAATTATACAGCGACACATTCGATAATCCTGATCCCACAGCAATCTTTTAATTCGTATCTTCCATCTCGTAGATACAATCATCGGCGTTACCTGCTTGAGATTAATTCGGGATAAAGCGGATGCCGACAAGTATAGGAGCAGAATGTGTTCCATGCGCGGGAATTCCCGCCTTCGCGGCTCTCTCGGAACGAGCGTTATGGAATCGGCCTGCAAGGTGTATTCTGCGGAAACTTGTGCCCGAGGAACAGTTCAGTTCTATTGGGAAGAGCAGAGTTCGGGCGGGTCGAGTTTATCTTCCCGACTCAACGTACGGCATCGGGCTCCATTGACTCGTCCTCTGAATCACAGTTTTCATCTGCGTCACCGAATAAATTCGCAAAGGTAATCTGGCTCGCCAAGCTGCTCCGTTTGGATCGGCGGTAGTTTTCCAAGTCGGGTCCTTCCGATGAAGACAGACTCGGCGCTCCAGACGCCTTGGGAACATCATCGAAATTCAGTGCGTCAGGCAGCGCGCTCATGACGTTCTTGCGATGGTTCAGGAAACTTTCTGTAGATGTCTCGAATTCACACCATAGCTGTCAATCGAAGAATTCCGATATGATACCAGATCGGAAACGATTAGTTCCAGCTGAACGGATATCGAAAGCAACGGCGTACGGCATCTACCTCCGAGTCGATGCCTAACCGAACGAAAGCAAAACGAATTCTCGGCGTGACCACTAGGATGCGTCCCTGAACGCAGTACTCACGGAAGTCACTGTAGTGTCCCGGTGAAGGTCCGTGCACTCACATGGGGGCCGGGAGCTCCGTTTCCTTCATTGGATCTCTCTCTCACGGAGACGGTTACAGAAAGACTCGAACAACGACGAGTAAGAGCCGAAACTCCAACGCAGGTCCCAGAGCACCAATATAGGCTGGGATACACGGACAATCGAACTTTCGACGCTTCTTGTGACCATACAGGCGTGCTCAATGGCCGCCGAATCGCCAAAAGCTTTATCGGGATGACAGGTCCTTGTGCGAGAGGTGGGACGATTCCCCTTGGTCAAGATCCGGTCACGTATATTTTCTCGAGGATCGCGGATTCAAAGAAGGTACCGTCACTCCAATCGAATCGCGGACTCCGAAGTAGACCGCAGGCGGGGAACCTCTTATGGGAGCTCGGAAGTTGTTGATAGCTGAGGATCGGATTCCGTCTGAAATTCGAACACGCAATCACAATGGAAGTGTTGCCATCACATCTGTCTCATCGAAACGATTCAATCACCCACGTATCGCCGTCTAAGCTGATCGTGAGTAACTCCGCCGGCAGTTATTTTTGTAATCTCTAGCTCACTCGCTTCCTCTCTCGACCCTGAATGACTGTTTCGAGATCCTTTCCAGATTCTCAGAACAAAATATCGACCAGAGGTCCTGCCTCCGAGAGCGGAGCCTTGTTCCATTCTCGGATCGCCTTCCGCCTGTACGTCGTCGTTTGTCGGACTCCCCGGGTGCTTGAGCGAGCTCCAGCGCACGCGTAGAGAGCAGGAGAGCGGCTGGTTTGTATGATCGATGTGAATAAAGTAAGCAGAAGACGAATCGTGAGAACAGGAATTCCGCTCGCCTGATTGTGGGCTCGTAATACGTAAACAAGTTTGACGGCGAGCGCCCTGACGACCGAACCGCGCACGGAGCTCTCTTGCTTTCGGCCGATCTCACTCAACTGCGCGTCAGGCATAAGGCACTCGAGGCACGCATAAGTTCGGCTCTATTCCCGCGCAGGGAGAACTTAAGAACTCTCCTTGTTGATCGCTCATTTCGGCAGTATTCGATATCTTGTGGGATAGGACCGATATACATGGATACGCCCTATTCAGTCAATGGTCGAGGAGAACAGCCGTTTATCTCCTTCGTCACTTGGAGAGAATCAAAGACCATGACTTTCAGCTTCAGATACTGACTTCAACAGATCTCGATTGTCTGACAGCCTTGAGGGCTGTCGTGCCGATGGGTCTCAACGGTTGCGTCACGATTCTCGAAAATCGATGTCGGCCGCGATCCCCCGAATCGCATATCGGAGAATGAAGCTGTGCGAAGCGAGCTGCTCTCGCGGAGCCTGGGCTGGGGATTCGACTTCGATGTCAAGTGGGGAACAAGCCTCGGCGGGATTCCAGAATAAATTCTTGGTCCCGAGAGTGACGTTCGTGACAGTGGGTCCTGCTGACCCCTGGGAGCGCGCTATCCCTGCACGACGTCTCCGAATCCTTAAGAAACGGATTCGTGATCTGCCTGAGACACAGGATCCTCGTCCGAGCTCGGAGCCCAACCAGTCGATTTTCACGGCTAAGGCTCACCTCATGAAATGAAGGCATCTAGCATTTTCGTCCTTCGAGGCGAGTCATTTCGATTCATCGAACGAAGGAGTAGAGTTCAGCTTTCAGCTTCGAGTCATCAGAATTTTTTCGAATCAACAACGCCACTAAGATCCGTCTTCTGGAAGTCGAATGTCAGGTGTTGTGATCAATCTTTGAGAGGAAGCCCGATTGCGGTTCTCTGGCGCTTATCCGCGACCATTTAAGAGCTACAGTCGGCAGACGAGCTCCGAGAAAAAAGTTGAGAATTTTTGGAATGATATGGCATCTAAATCGATAGTGATAGGTGGTGATGAAAAGGCTTCTTCAGGCAGATCTGACGATGGGAAATTCTCCGAATCAGGCGGCGCGCCCCGCTCTACGCCTAGTCGTATCGTTCATCATTGGCGAGCTTTCATTCTAAACTTCGATCAGCTGTCGTTGAAGAAGCAAGCGTCTGTTTGGAGAAACACAAAGAAAATCCTCGAGTTCTCGCACAAGTTTCCGCTGCCTCCGACTGTGAGTGTCTATCCACAACTCAAATGGTCAGTTAATATTGGATTCTCCTTTTTCAATACTGCGACTGCTGAGTTCCTCGGCAAACTCGACTCCCGCGTTCAATCGAAACGATCCTCTGACTTTTGAGCTCACCACATCATCTGCGAATTTCTGATAAGAGTCTCTTACGCGAGGAATCCGATGAGCTCGAACTCATATAGACGATGGCCGCGTCAAAATGACGCTGACAGATGGCAGGGACTTATAGCGGGTCTGCTCGGGCAGAGCTTCCTTGCGTTTTCACCGTCCGGGCGACGCTGAGTACTGCTGCCAAAACATGTTCATCTCCTCCTCCCTGAGGCTCACGGCACTCACGATATAAAGTGTGTTCCAGGTCGAAACCGGTTCAAAGGATCCTTCCATGCTCGCCGGTAGGTCTCAAGAACCCATCCACTTCATTGTTTTAGTCTTCTCTGTCTCAGACTGTTCCAAATATTCAAGCTCGTGTCATTCGTTGCCTAATAAGTCTACCTCCTATATCAAAATCGAGTATTGCGTGTGCTCAGTGCTCATCGCTAGAATTCGAGAATCCGTCTTCGGGCTCCTCGGAGTGGTGATATCTCTCTGGAAGTCAAACCTGACAGAGTTTCCCGGTGTTTCAGCTGGTCAAACCGCTACAACTTCGGACAACGTAAATGATGCTCAGATAAAACGTCGCCATCCCCCCGGAAGCTTGCCTCCCTCACAGACTCTCACCCAGAGTCCTAGAACGCTATCAGGAAGCACTAGACCTTACCGCAGACATGATCGGCCACGTCAGATCCCCGGCACAAACAATCGGGGCCGATCGCATCGGCACGACGCGCCAAAACCAGATGGAGATTCCCCCCGAAGTAACGTGAACGAAACTCTCCGCAATAATCGGACATCGTTTCCCGAAAATCAAGCTGCACCATGTGGTAACGAAGATATCACCGAATCTCGGAGGAGGGGATTTGGCCGCGGCTCCCGAGGCGGTCGGGGTTCTCGATCATCAGACGACCGGGCAGCCGTGGCGGGCAGTTCCACATCGGAAAATGGAACGCGAGAGGTGAAACAGAACTTCCAACCTGGAGGTGCGCGAAACTGGAGCCGTTTCCCGCGGAGATCGAACGAAGCGGGTAATGAATGTTATCCTGCCGAAGCGCGTCCAGACGCGCGATTGGGCAACGAAACCCGACCAATCACTGAGTCGGGTGCGGATGGAGCCCGAGCGTCCAATTCGAATCGTGGAAGGCCCTACAGGTATTATAGAGGCAGAGGTCGCGCTTCCGGTAATAGACGAAGTGCCCCAAGGAGTGCTGAAGTAGCCCCGGCAGAGATTCGGAGCGAACAAACTGTGATAGGAGCGCCGGAGGAGCGCCGGCCGGTCCCGCCGCCAGAAGACGTACTCAATTCGGCCGAACTGCCGAAAAATCAACTGAGCCCAGAGGAGATCGCACAGTTGAGACTTCGGGAAATTCAACAGTTCAAGACGCGCTTCCCCAAATCGGTGTCGGAGGCAGAGGGTACATATTCGTTCACCTTCTCGTCCACCGATCCGGATTGGGCGTTCGACGTTCGGAGTCTACGTTTGAAAGTGAGTGCGAGACTGGAGAGCGGCGAATATCCGGAAGCATCTCCGAATATAGCCTCCTGAACGATTACGCTCTCAAGCGTTGAGTTCTCTAAACTTTTTTCCGTACTGCAGGTGAATTTCCCCCCGGAATACCCAACGGTTCCACTGTCGATCGTGGTGGTAAATGACGATGACGTTTTACCTCCCCTGTTGGTTCAAGATGTGGACGAAGCCATCCTCGAGTGGATAAAGTTCTTCCATAAGCCCGACCAGCTTTCATTCAGACCATTTTTGCGTTGGATCGATAGGAATCTTCAGGAAATCTTCGTTGAAAGCTTGAGAAAAATCAAGAAGCTGCAGGAACGTCCATTGGTTGTCTTCGTTGATCAGGAGAACTTGAGTCCATCTGCTGGTGGTGGCTGCTCAGCGAATGAATCGTCAGGTGTAGTCGAAGATCAGGAGAATCAAGAAGCAGTGGCGTGGCCAACGAAGGCTCTACCGAAGAAGCAGAAGCGACTCGAAGAGCTGGACGATCTCTTCGATGCTTCCGTAAAACCGAAGCCTGAAGGTGATCAGTCGTTTCCACCACGTCTAAACCTCATGTCGATCCCCAAGCCTGAACGATGCCTCCGTGTGCTTCCGGATTGATGGTAATCGGGGAACTTTCATTTTTTCAGTACAAAAAGTCGCGGGTCATGGACCGCTGGGATCGTCACAGCTGTCGAAGATCTTCCACAACTACGACCCTCATACCCCTCCTCGTCGAGGCATTGAAGTCAAATTCCGTCACGTGGATTTCTCCGAGTCGGTGTCTTTCGTCGTGTGCGACCGATTACTCGTATCCGTGCAATGCAAAAAGTGCAAGAAAATCGCCGACTTCCAGTTGGTGCCCGGCAAACGCTCGGTTTCCCCGTGTGCGAAGTGTCAGACGAAACTGGAAGCGTGCTTCGGACCCGCGATCCTCTTCCAATTCAATCCTCTTCTTGGCTACCTCGAGTTGAAGGAATGCACAATACGAGACGTCGCGCTGTCGAGATGCCATTTCTACGCGGACTGTCTGAACTGTACGAAATTGAGTCCCTTGGAGGGAGTTCACTTAGGACAACGCGGATCGTCGCACTGCCTCAGCTGCAATGTCAAGATGACCTTCGTCATGGATTCATTCAAATACATGGACATGTGCGCGATCGAAGCCAACATAAGAGCGACCAATCTCAAGAAAGCCAACAAGGACAGTGCGATCCAATCCGGGAAACCGCTGCCTTCGAATGGTGCCTGCAAACACTACAAAAAAAGTTTCCGTTGGTTTAGGTGAGGGATTCAAGCTCCGATACGAAATCACAGCCCGCTTCAATCTTGATTTCGGGCAATGCATAAATTAGCTCTCAAATCGAAAGGAACCCGGATATTCTCATTGCCCCGCCGAGATTTCAAAACCAATCTGTTCATCCTTTAGATTCCCATGCTGCGGCAAGGCATACCCCTGCGATGATTGTCACGATGTCGCCGAGGACCATGAAGCTGAATTCGCTTCCCGCATGATCTGCGGCTTCTGTGCAAAAGAACAACCATTCTCCAACGATAAGCCCTGCTCCCAGTGTTCCAATATGATAACGGGACGCAGGACCGCTCACTGGGAAGGAGGAAAGGGCTGTCGCAGCCAACTGAAAATGAGCTCGTGAGTGTTGCTGGCCGGGGAGTCTCTCATTTGTCGTGATCATCTGGAAGAGAGGATGTGACTAATCATCCCTCCTATTCACAGGAATGATTCGAAGAAATTCGCCGGTTTGAGCAAGACCGTTTCCCGCAAGTCCACCGTCAAATCGAAATGAGGAGGAATGCTATAGGGGTCAAAAGCTAGGAAGATATCTGATGGAAAATCGAATAAACTAAATTGGTGTCCTGGGCTTCGATGTATAATGTCTGTGAACTCCCTCGCATAGCCATCTCCCTTGAGGGATAACATAAGTAAGTAATGCGCGCGGGAGTGCCCCATACCTCTTGACGCAAAGATTGAGACGATTCTCGGTCGACCTCGGATGGCGAGAGAATAGGACCACAGAACTAGACCTCGCGGCCAAAGTTCCCGATACCCGGATGTTGTTCTCTGAAAGGAACGCCAGATCCCAGTTCGACGTCACTCCTCCTGTTTGGTCTCTCGTTGGCCCGGCTCGGATCGAGAAAACGCGGCTAATTAGGATCCCGCGAGTTTTTCTCTAGGTTATCTCATTGATACCGCGCAGCTCCAATTGAGACGCCGATCGGGCTTCTTGAGGATATGGCGTTCATAGAAAACGTTGCTGGCTGAGTTCTCCCACGTTGATGATCTGCGTAGTGAAAGAAGCTCCGCAACATTCACCCATGCCCCTTGACGAGTTATGTGTGTATAAACTTGTCGTCCATCGTGACATCAGGGCTTAAGCTCATCATTCCTACGAGTGGAGAGGACCGACTCGATCCGCTGGGGGATTCTTTGTCACTCAGGTACTCCTAGCCAAAGCTGGACACGCCTCAGAGAACGGAGGACAGTCACTATCAAAATTTATTCCGAAACGTCTATGAACATCTAGACTGGGATATAGCCGTCCGAAATGAAGCAGGCGAAACAAAAACCACAGCACACGGTGAGAGAGAAAAGGAATATGTTCAATATGACGACGAGAAGCGACATGAACCCGAGGAAGATGCCGATCGCGAGCGGGATCTGTATCCATATAGAGAGTTCTGGAGAGTACGGAAAAATCATATTAGTGTATCATAAACCGCTTTACGGTGGATGGAATCTCGGTCGGAAGCCGTGCTTTCTTTGAGGACGATGCTCCCTCGAGATGGAAGCATTCGGGCCTCCATAGCACACCGTGGAATCGAGGGATTTCGACACGAAGGTATAAATAGAGAAATTGTCCATTATAGAACGCTCAACTCACGCGAGAACCAGTCGTTGAAGGTGCAGCTCTCTTTGTTCGTCAAGACGGAAAGCGAAGCGGCGCTTGCGATAGCATGATCTCCAGAGGCAAATCCTGTCGGCGTCCCACCCGAGGACTCGAGAGTTACGTCCAGTGGATGCAGTGAAGCCGCCGCCGAATGCGCTACCAGCAAGCTCAAACATACCAGTCCGTACTCCATGATTGAGACACAACAGCCGAGCGGTCCGAGCGCGTGGTAGTGGGACAGCGAACGTTTCGCTGTGATATCAGCGGAGGATTTAGTCCTTTGATCGACCCTATCAATTGTTTACTCTCCATTTCGAGCCATACCTTGGGCTGATAGCTTCGCATCTTGAGGAATTCCGCCCGCGATAGCCGCGCTGAGGAGATGAATCTCACATTGTCCGCGCGGAGGATCTAAAATCTCGTGTAGGTCGCTTCATCGCGCGGAAATGCTCAAGATCCGATGAGCTGCCTGATCGAACTAAAAACGCACGCAGCACTCAACTTGAATTTTCCTGAGTCAATCTCGAAATCCACCACGAAATCTTGTTCCGACATTCTTAAATCAGCTGCCTCTTCGTGTAGGAGCGTTCAAGGACGTATGCGTCTCTCCGGCGACTTTTGGAGCCCCTAGATTAGTCTGATCAGTTCCCATGTAGCGAGGGGTGCGATCGATTCCCGTCGATCTTGTCAGGCTACGACTCGCCCCTTCGCAGTATAATCTCCGTTCTTCGGAAACTGTGGATCTGAGCGTGCCCCTGGATCAGATACGCGGGATCCTCCTGTCCTGTCGCGCTGGTTTATCTCGAAAGACTCACAAGTTTTCCGAATCGCCGCCTCCTCCCCCGAAAATGCAGAGAATCCGACCAGAATTCGCGGGGATTCACGGAATAATAATCGTCCTGAGTGAAAGTCCCGCCCTGAGAGGCTCGTCGAGGACTTCGCTACGGGCTCGTTCTCTTTCTCCTAAGAAAGGGTAAGTCCAGATAGAGGAGAAGGAAATCGCATAAGCTGGTTCACGGTGGGGGAACTGATCATCCGAGGTCGGAAAGCTTCTCCAGGGTCAACGCACACCGAGGAAGAGGCGCCTGAAGCACGGCAGCGAGACCTCAGTCGGCTCTCGTCACAGAGAAGTGCAGAAGGGAAGGGAAGAGTCGACAGGGTCTCATATGGAACGAGCATTCCCGCAAGGAATATAAGTTTTTATGGGAGCATGAAGTACATTTCACATGGATCGCCTGGTCGAGGAGGATGCAGAGAATGGAAGATCATACCTCCACATTTATTCTTATAAGCCATGGGAGCCCTAGATTTCTAGATGGCGATATATTCGTTCGGGATGAAACAGGCGAGACAGCAAGCACAGCAGAAGGTACACCAGAAGAAGATGATGTTCAATAGGATGACGAGAAGTATCATCAGCGCGAAGAAAATGACGATGGCGAGCGGGATCTGGATCCATATCGAGAGCTCTGTTGGATGGGGAAAGTCTCAGTCAGTAGAGCGAGATGTCAAGCGTAGCACATCCTCGAATCTTTCCGATTCAAGTCTGACTCTCCCAGAAGCTCTGCAAACTCTTTGGACTCGAAAATCGTCAGAGTGAGGTTGACTTTCGCGCACAGTCCTATCCGAAGCATTGCATCTCAACATGCGTATAAGGTTCATTCATCACGCTGGAGGAACTTGTGCATAGGCTGCTCGTGCTCGAAATTTTATACTCACGCGAAAACCAATCGTTGAAGGTGACTCTATCTTTCGAAGGCTGAATCACGATCACGGGCCTCCTCGGGCGCGTAGGTCTCGATGTGGTGACTGCGGGAAGTGCAACAGGTGGGGTAGTAGTTGACGATGGTTTTCTAGTGGTCGATTCCGCTGTTCTTCCTGACGACGGAGTCGTCGCAAGCGGTTCGCGGCTCGAAGGTTCGACCGCGTCGACGGACAGGGTTTCGGTCGAAAAACTCAGCGGGGGCAAGGAAGCCGCTGAGCAACACGCTATCAGGAGGCCCAGAAACAGGATTCCGTGCTCCATGATCAAGCTTCGCCAGGCGCTCTTCCGAGCGAATGCAGAGCAGCCAGCTACCTCAGCATTCTGTTGTGATGTCAGCCTAGGCCTTTGATCCCTCGAGAGCGTATTTCTGCTTGATGACTTTCAAGTTTGCATCAAATCTCGAGCTGATAATCGAGCCAGTGAATTTAGCCAGTTGAGATCGCTCAATCGAGTAGAGTCTGTACTGGAAGTATAAGGGGAGAGGAATTCGGCGTGAAATTTCTTCCGTGGTAGCTTCATAGATACTGATTGTCGAATCAGCACCGTGAGAGTAGGAGAATATTCGGAGAGGCTTTCTTTATCGGACGACGAATAACTTGCGACTCCATAACCAGGTGACGCGGGATGGAGAGTCATCAGAGATCGGGAGAAATTGGGTGTGAGAGAGGTCGCCGATTTGAGTAAGGAACGTACGGGAGCAGCCTGAACATTTTTCAATGCCAACTTCCATCGATGCGTCAGGTAGGGAGTCTTCGGTGAGATGTTGTGAGTGCAGACATGACGATATATTCCATGAAAGGCATTTCCCGAGCAAATGAAGCATATCCCCCCATGTGGGACCACGAACAGACTCTTCGGAGGGAGCTGTTGCACCCACCGGCTCATCGGATGTCAATCAATAGTATTTATTCACTCGATCTGAGTAGACTTCTACCTAATTTAATATATGTCATCGGATGTATCGAGCCTACAAAGTATACTGGAACCTCCCTTTCTGTACGCGGTAACCAGCGAAAGCTCCCTCTTCTCCTAGTATTTCCACGCAAGCCCTAGGATCTCAGAGGAAGACCACGCTCTGAAATTGTACAACATCAAAACAATTGTTTTATTCTAATATAATAGTGGACAGAGCAGTTTGAATCGAATTGCCCACCACTGGCTCGGACAAAGGTTTTTTTCTCATCCAACCATCAGACGTATCTGTTCTCGGTACAAACATCTATCTAGACAATAGCAAAAAACTCGGATTGAGAACATCTGCACGCTGGAAATCAGAATTGAGCACGCATCACCTCATCTCAACACAGATGCGTGTCGTGCGTATCGCATGTTTCACGTTCACTCTTTTTTATGCATTCCGTCCGCTATCTACAGTAATTTCTGTATTTCGTCCAGAGCTCCAATCCAAGTATTCGTTACTCAAGTATCGCTACCGTCCCCCTTGGAGCAATGAGGATATTGGACACCTCGTTTCGGATCGATCGGATAATTCATACGCTCGGTTCAATACCGGAGACGATTGGGCAGCTGAATCTTGATTCGAGGAGACGCATTGCTTTCTCGCTAGAGCAATGCGTGAAGCTCGAGAACGTGCATCCCCAACATCAACTGATTGATACTGCTGTCCGTTTTCAATAAATTGAATGTTGCTCCCGCTCGTGCTTCCATTCAAATCTATGTTTCCTACATGGAAATACACCAAACAACGGGTGACCGTCTCTTCCGAAGAACATGTTTTCCGTCCCCAGTTCGGTCATGATTGTGTTTCAATGGGAGGCGCATTCGTCATTCCAGCAGAAACAAATGATTGAGAATATCCACGGAAGCCAAATCAAAGTCGATGGGCCGAGCTTGGGCCCTCATCCCGCATCAATGGTTCGACGGTATCATTATCACCGGATTATTATTGGCCAAGCTTCATTATAATTCAGCTTTGGAAACTAAGGAGCCCCTCGAGTCTGCAAGAGGCGATATCAGTATCCCTCCCAGATTCACGAAGCTTGCTGTCTCGAAGGCTCGCGTTTGGAGAAATGCACGTTCCAGACACAATGAGCGTCCTCGTTTCCGCTTAGACTTCGGCCTGCAGCGATGTTGCGACAACAGCGGCGTCGTCGAGTCGTCAGTGCTGGATGGGGGCTCGGGCTGAAGCTGGCGTCGCTCTAGCAAAATAGATTCGTCTCGTTTCACGCACATGTCCATTCATCATAAAAGAATATGATGATAATTTGAGAATAGTCAGATTAACTCCCACTGAGTGAGATAGCATAGAAAAGTTACTTCGTCGTCGCTTCTCCACTTCTCTCCGACAGAGAATCTCTGGGGTACAGGCGAGGGATCTAGAGAGAGAGACGTGATTTTGTGTCGCGCGAGGAGCATTCCCAGGCCAGTTCTCCGATCGTTCCTCCGTCGCATAAACGGGGAGCGTAAATGAAGTGCCCGATATAATCGATCGATTCACTCCACGCTCATACACTCCGTAATTTCTACCTCAGAGGGATATTCCCCGCAAGGCTGGCTCTGTTTCCCCTTCAGGTTGTACCCTGCAATAATTATGAGGTTCTCCGTGTGCTACTCTCGTGGTTGAACTCGCGAAATTCGGAGATATCCCACTTCTTCAGATGCCTCACGGCGGAATGAAAGGGGGAAGTGCGTTCAATCGAGGGTACGAGATATGTGTTCATTTTTTACAAAGTCTTTGTATGTATGCATGCATGTATGTATGTATGTATGTATGTGTGCCAGTCGCTCACTCTGTTCGTATCGGCAAGTCGTAGGAGGGACAAACGACGAGCTAATTACAACAATATCACTGAAAAGTCATCTGTCTCTTTCTTTTGATCAATATCCAGTATTAAATGGTGTCCTGAGAATCAACAACATTTTATTCTTTGTTGTATATACATGTACGATGCACGGTGTCCCCAACCGCGAAGATTCAGTGATTCGCACAGAAACTTCTATTCATATATCTTTTCCTATATCAAGAGAGAGAGAGAGTGAAATACATATCGAACACATTCAATTTAAAAAAACGGTGGCTGAGCGCTACATTGGAAAAATTAATGCTCTGTAGACTTTCCAATCGAGGAAGTGGGGAAACCGTGCGCTCGATCAATCGCATCGACTGACTGTTGTATGCAGCTTCACATGGCTATTCACTGATCCTTCAGAAGATAGTATCGACGGGTTCAAGGCTTCGCAGAGGATTCAAACCACCATTCGGATGCGGGATCGACAATACAGCGGTCGTGGTCAGTTCGAAGCGGAGACGAGTCGTATCTCACATAACGAACTACTTGGCTTTTTCTTCTGAGGATATATTTATATACTGAGACCCTCTCGCTATCTTTCCACGACCGCTTCGGTCATTGATGAGTCAACGCCACTGGGCTCTTCTCTCACAATCGACTCGCAGACCGCTGGCTTGTGGTAAGTTTTTTCTTCCGAGGAGAGGATGTTTAATTATGGATGGCCCGTTCTTCTGTCTGTTTTTTCCTCTGTACGTTTCGCTTGAGTTTTGGTGATATTTTTCTTCTCATCGTGCATTCGGAGAACGAAGATAAAAGATTGATTGATTGATCTCCTTGTGTGAGGGAGCTGAATTGATTGATATTTTTTCTGCCGTCAGAACTCTTCAAGTCGCTCACAAACTTCGAAGCGATGAATGCATGGGTTCATCGATTTGTTTCGAGAGGTGACAATATCCGTCGGTTTCCGCATAAGGTAGGAGGTATCCGCTTTTTGTTTTTCAATCTGTCAGAGGGAATAAATGATCAAGCTACGGCTACCTGGGGCCTCGTCTCCTCACGGCACGACGCATCTTCCTGCCTTGCGTCACAGCATTGAAAGGATTCTCGGCGTTCGGAGCACTGAAACGGAGTGAGGATTGTAATCGCGAAAGTCGCTCGGAGAGCATCGATGCTAAAGTCTGAGAGAAGTCTCGACGACGTGATCGGGGACCATTGAGCTCAAACTTTTACTTACGGGAAATTCATGCCTTGACCGACGCTGGGCGCGGCACCACCGAACTGGAAGGGAGCTTGAGTTTGTCCGGCGGGTTGGGCTCCGAATTGGAACGATGACGCAGGCGTCGTCGCTTGGCCGAAACTGAAGCTGAGCTCGCCGGGCGCGGGAGTCGCACCTGGGGCAGGAACTGCCGCAGGAGCAGCCGCCCCAAACTGGAATGGTGCTGCGCCGGGGACCGGATTGGCGGAGGTCGATGGGGCCGGAGAGTTTGTCATTCCGGCGTTGGGAGCACCGAAGGTGAACAACGGCCCGGGGGACGGCGTCGCGGCTCTAGGTGTTCCACCTGCGTTGAATGCGAATGGGGTCGATGGAGCTGGCGCGGCCGGGCTCGCATTGGGCTTGAACTGGAAAGCATTGGTCGTGGCTGGTGCAGTTGTCGAGTTCGCAGCGCCGAACGCCGGGGTCGAAGTCAGGAGCGAACCGCTTCCGAAAACGCTCGGTCCGTTCGAGGCAGTCGGCAGGGCAGCTGTCGAGGCTGGAACATTTCCGAATGTGAACGTTGGTGCTATGCTGGCACTCGTGGTCGTCGGGGGTGTCGCGGCGCCGAAACTGAAGCCCGATAGGCGAGGAGCGGTGCCGAAAACAAATGCTGATCCAGAATTTTGAGGTTCTGCCTTGGTTGCGGCCGAGGATGCTGGATTGCCTGCGAGAGCGAAAGATTCATAAAATGAGGGAAAAACTCCACGAGCATGAGCTCCCAGGGCCGGCTGCCGGTTTCCTATAATCCAGTACACTCACCGAAAGTGAACATCGTGTTGGATGTCGATGGGACGGTAGAGGTCGCGGTCACCGCTGGCGTCGAGGCGGGGCCGGTCGGGGCAGGGCTCGTGAACGAAAAACCTGAGGATGCAGCGGGCTGGGTCGAAGCTGCTGTCGTCACGGTGGTGCTAGCCCCGAACACGGGCGTCGCAGTGCTCGAACCGAAGAGACCACCGCTGGCCGCCGGGCTCTTGGCCGTCGTGGAGAATCCCCCGAAGGTGAATGTCGACGTCGTGGCACTTGTCGTAGCGGTAGCGCTCGAGCCCGCGGTCGCCGCCGCGAAGTTGAACGTAGCTGTCGACGGTTGTGCGGCAGGAACATCGGAGGCTGATGTACTCGCGGTTCCGAAGGTGAAACCTTTCGAAACTGTGGCGCTCGCCGCGGCTGGAGCGTTGCCCGACGAGGACGGGGTCAGAGACGCTCCGAAAGCTGAAATGAAAATCAGAAGATGAGATCCCAACTTCCGAGCGAGGGAATGAATCCATGGAGAGGTGCTGGTTCCCCAAAGGGAGATACTCACAGAACAATCCTGTCGTCGCGGGTTCGGTTTTGGTCGTCGAGCTAGCGGACCAAGCGGCACCGAAGCCGGAGAAACCCGACGAGGTGGTCGTGGCGGGCGTTGCGTTCGTATCGATACTCGCGGTCGACGCCGCCGGAGCTACAGGAGCTGGAGTCGCAGATAGCGTCGACGTCACAGGCGGAACCGCGAGCACTGGCGTCCCGAAAGAGAAACCCGTGCTACTCGAGGCTTTAGACGCATTGTTGGCTTGCTCGAACGGACTCTTCCTCTCAGCTTCGCCGCTTTTCGGGGAGCTGACGCCGAACTTGAAACCATTAGGAACAGGATTACCGCCGCTTCCGCTTCCGTCGTCTGTGCCCTTCATTCCGAACACGAGTGTCACGGGCTCGCTCGTGATGTTTTTGTTCTCATCAGACTCAGGAACTCCGAACTTGAATGCAGAACTTATCGCCGAAGGCGTGCCGGACGCGAAGCCGACAGGTCCAGCAGCCGCCGCCGCCGTCGTCTTCGCTGCCTCAGATCCGGGTTTTGGGGTTTCACAGGCAACACATTTGCTCTTGTCCAAGTCGTTTCGGACCAGGCAAGTATCACAACTCCATCCCGGTGACATTTTAATCATGGCGCTAAGAGGTGATTTCACAGTTGATACGGGAAAAGAACTAGTCGACGCGGCCGATGGCGCTGCTTTCGAATCGGGGTTCGGACTCTCGCACGCCACGCATTTCGAGGCCTCGGCCTTGTTCGATACCATACAAGTGCCGCATGACCACTGGCCTGCGGGTTTCTTGAAAAGGTCTCCCCATTGATTAGCGACGGTCGTTCCTAAAGGTTTTTCGGCAGTTTTGCTGGAGGGTGCTGTCGAGGGTTTCGCAGTTCCGCAAGCTACACAACTTGAGCTATCCGCCTGGTTATTCACACAACAGGTTGAGCAGTCCCAACTCGACGCAGGCTTCTTGAACTGGTCACCCCAACTGTTGGTGACCGGAGACGACGTCGAAGCCGCGACGGACGTCGGAGGTTTCGTGGTCTCGGACTTCTGCGTTTCCGCTCCCCGCTCGAACATACTGGCGCCAGGACCGTCCGTCGAGAGGCTCGTTTCGGGGGCGTCTTTGCGCTTGTCACTTGTTCCGATAACATCCATTACGCTACCGGGGCTCAGGACGTCCGGAACGGCCACTCTTGCGGGCTCGGGCGTTTTCGTCTTGAGACTGAAGGCTCCGCCGCTTACCATCGACTGTCCCGCTGCGGCGAAGACTCCGGGTCGACTCACGGTATCTCTTTTGAGGTACAGCGGATCCTTGAAGTCGAACTGCTCTTTGCAGAGCAGGGTTTTAGTCGGCTTATCCAGGTCGACCGGGGCGGCGAATGTGAAAGCTTCCGACACGTCGTTCGCCGAACATACTAGCGACGAGGACATCTGCTGTTTTTCGAAAGGTTTATTGCTGAAGTCAGCTAGGGAAGTCAACGGTGAGCGAATCGATGAGCTCTTGCCACAATCTGGAGTCGATGCCGCGACGGCGATCGTCGCAATCGTCGGGGGCTTTGGGGCGAACGAGAAACTCGGAAGATCTTTGATCGGCAACGGCGCCGACGGCAGATCCGGTGCCGCCACCGGGGGTTCTTCCTCGACGGGAATTTTCCGACTTAAATGCTGCTGGATAGTTTTAGCGGATTTCATTTTTCCGCCGGCCGCGCTCGCTCTGTCCGAGTCGCCGTAGTGGTCCAAAAGAGCGTTCATTGGGCGAGGGGTCGGAGTTATGACAGGAACGTTCGAAGCGTGTGAAGGAGACGCAGCGTCTCCCTCGTCGATATCGATCGGGTACTCTGGCGTCGATGAGAGCACGGGCTTCACGTTGCTCCCAATGCGGGCGGGTTGCACGCTGGACCGACACGAACTGAGCGGCGGAGGCGCCGAACTTTGCCGCAGGGACGCGATCGATTCGAGAAGCCCCTGACGATGAGCTTCGTTTCTCGAAAACGATGAGTTGTCCGGACGGCCCAGAGGGATCTTCTTGGCATTCTGTATGGGTGTATTCATTCGCTCTAAAGCTTCGATGAGACGTTTCGCGGCAGAACTACAATCAGGCACGTTCACGTTGGCGGCAGGTTTACTTCTTTTCGCAGCCATCTGATAGGGGCTTGGCGAGAAGAGGTTGAGCTTCCTATGAGCGGCTGCGCCTCCGTATGTCGTTTTTCCGTCGTAGAAAATACTTCTGTTCAAGCTTCGTTCGGGCCGATGCAACGATGACGACAAGCTCCTCGACGTAGAAGCATTCTGCGTACCCGTGAGCGGCAGACTCGCGTTCAAAGTCGACGACAGAGCTCGGGATGGCCTCGAAAACAGCGAGAAGTTCAGGGACGGCGACGCCGTCACAGCTGAAAGGGATAATTGGACTTAGTCGCCTCAGGAGAGATAATTCTGGAAATGGTTCCGATTACGACTCTCGGGGGGATCGGCCAATTCCAATGGCGTAATCGGGGCCGGGGGAGGGGCGGGGAACCAAAATTGAAGATGCTGCACTCTCTGGGCGAGAGGGGGTGATTTTTTTCCCACCTCGGTCAATACGGATTACGATCAAAGTACTGAGCCCGAAGACTCCAGCAAAAAGCCATCAGGAGGCCGTCGAATCTTCGACGGATGGGTGGAGGGCGAAGAGACCGTCTTGGCGCGACGACCCGACTCCGACCCATACGCCATAATGCTCGTTTGAGCGAATGATGTCACATTGGATAACCAAATGTCTTTTTCCTTGGAAATGTCTTCTTCCTTGGAAAATCATAACTCGAGAGCACAGAGAGGTTGTTGAGAGAGTTGAACTCACAGGTCTCTGCTGCAATGGAAGTCTGGTCTACGCTTATGCTAACGTCGCGGGTTTTCGACTCTTTGGTATTCTGTAGAGGTCGATTTCTTCTCTGATTGTTCTTCGTCTCCACAGCCAAAGATACTTCTGCAGCTGCCGGAGCTGTGATTGACAAAGACGAGCATCCTGAAGTGGACGAATCTGAGCCATCATCGAAATCAGCGTCTACGCCTGCGGATGTCGTCGGCGGGACAACTGACGCCACTGGCGACAACCTACCCATGGGTTCTGCGACGAGAAATGAAATCCACCGATTAAACTTTGGTCATAATATGGAGAAACCCTTTTGCTTGAGAGATATACAGTCAATACCAGATTTCTGGTTGAGTTTTTCTATAGCTATTGTCCAGGAATGAGTCCTACCTCGACGTGTGATTTCATTCGGACGAGCCCGCTTAGGATTACGCTCTCCGTTGCTCAAACCGGATGCCGCGGTCGAGTGACGGCCAGAAGTTGTCTGCTGGTGAGAATCCGGAGATGTTTCCGAGTTTCCTTCGCTCGCCCATGACGGCAGGAGCCATCGAGCGACATCACTGACCGAATCCATCATGGTTCGGCGTCGCTGAAAATCCATTGATAATAAATTTATAATTCCTGATCACTACCTGGGAGAGGCTCTGCGGAGTCGGATTCGAGACATTTCGTACGGGATGGTGACATCGCACTTCGCGAAAGCATTTCACGGATGTTCTTCCGAAAAGTGACGATGCCATGAAGGGATCAGGTATCACTGATGATATTCTCCCAACAGTTCGGATCACCTCGGAGACGGCGCTTGACCTCCATGCCGGGCGAAACCGACCGAAACAGCCATCTCAAAATTTCCCCGAGGAGCACAATTCTTCTGTTACGGTTTTCGACGTAATTTCGCATGTCGAGCACAGGGAGAAGAGGAGCAGGTTTTTCCCCCGGACGTTATTACCGAACGGGTCTCTCAGCGGGATCGTGAAGGCTCCGCTCAGCGACCGAGAGCGCGGCAATCGGTCCGCGCGCCTCGTTCGCAGTCGAGGACCCCTCTATGGGTATGGCCAAAATCGTTGACCACATCACGAGCGTGAACAACTTCGCTCGAGCAGCGTCGCATAACGTTCGACGGATACCGAACATGAAAAAGCTCGAAAGTCGCAGAAGGCGCGTAGCGAGCCGCTGAGCTCACCAAGACAGTCTCTCAAGCAGTAAGTCAGACAGAGGTTCACTACTAAGCTGCTCCACAATTCGAGGGGGATGGAAGGCACCGATAAACGAGACCACTTCTAAATCGTGTTCGGTAATGTATAACGAAGGGTATCGAGGAGGTGCAAGCTCCTGCGTAACTCTTGCGGAGTTGCAAGCAGGTGCTGGCCGCAGCAACGACGGATGCGTCTCTGGGCGCTTGGGCTGAGCATCGACGTAAACATCAGTCAGGATGAGATCATCGCGGGAACGTGCCGGAGACTTCGAGAATCGCTCCCGACCACTCGAGATCAGCTGTTTCGACCCTTCCGATCGTGGGAAGCGGATTGGAGAACCTTCGAGCCCACCGCAACCACCGGTTCGAGACGAGAACAACGTGGGTGAAGGTAATCGCGGTGCACACAACGATATGACTCAGAGATTTCACGCGGATCAGTTTCCTCTGAGGGCATCCGATATGCCGGAGCTCCGAAACCGAATCCTGGCCTCTCGGAAGAGCAGATCGTCGAGCTCACGTCTTCTGAATCCTATCGAAACGCTTCCTGAGCACAATGAGCCAGCACGGAAAGCCACGATCCTCACGTCTTGAAGCAAGCACCCGGGACGACCTCGGGAGCAATCTTCAGTCAGGGTCGTGGCTCGGGGATCTATAGAGGATTTCGCAGGCTTACCTTATTGTTCCGGGGAGCTGCCGGCTCCGGCTGGAGGGAATTGCGCCTCTCGGCCATGCTTTAGTCAACCCTAGTTACAACAAGGCGGGACCATGCCCGGGAAATTTTGCACTGTGGCCTTGAAGTCGACTCAGGGACCTCGTTATCGACACTACTGATCTCACAATCGACACTTCGGGCAGATTGCCACACGCCGAAGACGATCGCTGTTTTCCAAGTTTTAATCAACAGCACGATAATATAGTAGCCTCCTCACACATGCATGCAAACACGACAATGGCGGTCAAAAAGCGGGATCACTATAACGTACCACTATCGTACCAAAATACTACCAAGAGTGAGCTTGTGGATGCTTTCGAACGAGATAAAGCGTTTGATCGGTGCAATCGAATGCGACAGATTAGTGGGAGAAGATGTCCCGGCTCGGAATACTCTCCTTGGGCGTACATATGTTTTTTTTCCGGGGATCTTATTCAGATTCAGGCTCTGGAATTTGGTGCGAACCTAATCTGCCGATTGATAATAGAATGTGATGATGTCGATGATCTTTGCTGAGCCGAGGGTCCGGCTCGCGCTATCATGACTTCCTCTTCGAAATGAGCCGCTTACAGCGATGGGAAGTCTCACTCCGCCGGTCGAAGGTGTTCCAGGGGGCCTCGGAAACTCCGGACGGAATTAGGGAACTTCTAGACCGTGGAAACGACGCAATTCAAGACGGACTACTGCGTCGGACCGAGAGTTCTGCTGTGGGTCATACGCACGGTTGGATCCTCTAACAATCGATGATATCGGGAGTCGCCTGCGGAGCGGTAACGAAATCTTTCGAAGGAACATCAGGACGGTGCGAACAGAATCTACCGTTCAGCAAAGATCATCCTGCTCAGTATCTCCCATTAATCGTTGGCAGATATAGTTTCCGGCGAAACTTAGCCCCGATGTTCTTCGCGACTCCCACTTCAGTGCACATCTGTACTGTCCACCGTAATTCATGTCGCCCGCCATGGCACCCTATGGGAGAGGATGTTGTTGAGCAACAAGTGATCCATCGAGCGGCGGAAAAACCGAATTTTCCGACTCCCGAGTAGCCTATGAAATTTTATCGACTCTTCGATCTCAGCAGCGCAATATACCGCTTCGAATTCAGGTCCATTTCATGGATGACCACGGACTATGGTCGACGAAAATCTTGCCTGCAGAGCACGCCTGTGAGCGCAGACTCAGAAAGCTGCGCTCGACACCAGCCGAGGGATAACCAAGCCGCTCATTTGAAAGAAGTTTGATAGAGCACTATACCCAGCCTCGCTGACGTCGGCTGCGATGAATCATCGCGGTGGGCGCTGACTTCAAAATCGGCTCTGAATCGCCGTCGACAAGCCCGCCTCTTCTCGGGATCCTCCCGGTTCGAATGTAGGGAGGATGGAGCAGCGAGAGTTCTCCTAGATGATGGTTCTCCGATCTCATTTATGAGCCAAACCAGTAACGGGTCCAGACGTCCGCGACGGTTCTCGGTATTACTATGGAGAAGCGAGGGAGGCTCTCTTCAAGAAATGCTGCCATAATCAAGATTCTCATATCATATCATGTCGAGAAGAGCCTGTGTAATCAGATGAGCTCTCAAGCTGGTTCTCACGGACTGCTCATGGAGCAACGGGGAGCCGATCTGGTGGGCCCCCCTGACCTTATGTTCTAGTTCATACGATGCGATCTCTTGGAAACTGGATGCGTTACGAACGGTGAATTTATTCCAGCCATGGAGCGTTTCCCTTATACATATAAATCCCGTCTTCTTGTCCTCCCATGTCTGAGGTGTACGTCGCAGGCGTCGGCACAGCTTATCCGCGGAGCCACATGCACCATGGTTCATATGCATTGGAATTATCCAGCGTCAAACTTACTGCGGTGGATGCGGAGAGTCAAAGCCCGATGGGATTGAATCACAGGGATGATGACGCGCTTTTGCGCGTCGTAATCTCTGGGAATGCGGCCAAAGATCTGGGAGGCGAAGCTGGGGCGCTCCCCGCCGCTTGTGCATCATGAGAAACGTGAGAGGAAAAACGCTCCACTTACTCAGAGAATGGAGGGAGTGTCTTCATCGAACTTTTATTAGGTAAGGTACCCCCACAAACATGCGGAACATCTCCTATTTACACCCCGATCGAGACTCGCAGAATTACATCGGGAAGCCTCCTCCGCCTCTTCTTCCCATTCCGCCATTCATCTGCCTCATCATGTTCTGGATTCCCGAGAAGCCACCCATCTGTTGTAGCACTCGCGGGTCTATCATCTTGGCCATCTCGGCGCTGAGTTTGTTCATATGAGCCGGGTTGACATTTTTCGCGAGGTCGTTACCTTTGAAGAGACCTTTCATGCCTCCCATCTTCTTGACCATTCCTGCGAACTTCGTGTATTGATTCAGCAGCTCGTGGACCTCAAACGTGGTACATCCAGCTCCACGAGCAACCCTGTTGGAGAGCATGCTTTAGAACACGACTTTCTCGGCTGATAAAGAAGGCTTGGGGTCCCCGCGGCTGGGGGAGATAGTTTCCGCTGCCGCGTTAGGGATGTTAAGAGCGGACTGGTAAGATTTCGGGGCCCGAGAATCTTGCGAGCTCGTCGGCCCCTGGATCACTAACCTTGTGATTCTGGTCTGCTGCTTCGCGAACATTCTGGCGCCCTCCCGGTTATCCAACTCATCGTCAGTCATTGAATCCATAATTGTCATGAGACGCTTCAATCGGCTCATCGACTCTTGCTCGTTGCCCTTCGTCATGAAATCGGCACTGAAACCTGGGAGAGAACGCCGAATATTCTGATAGATTCCACCGAGCGCAGTCGATAATTTTTCGAGACAGTATAAGTGTTCCACCAACCTGGAATCATTCCCATCAGTTGGTTGAAGGGACCCATCTTCATGATGTTCTGGAACTGTTCATACATGTCCCTCAGCGTGAACTCTCCATGTTTGAGCTTCTCTATCAGCTCGTGATTTTCATCGAGTTTGAGCTCATTGACTTTGTCGATCAAACCCTCGATGTCTCCGAGGCCGAGGAGTTTCTGGATGAAAGGCTTCACCCGGAATGGCTCGAAATCGTCTATGTGTTCCCCGGTACCGATGAAAATGACTGGGGATTTCGTCGCAGCTACCGCACTGAGGGCACCACCTCCCTTCGCGTGACCGTCCAGCTTGGTGATGATGACAGAAGCGACATCGACTTTTTCCTTGAAGGCTCTTGCCTGGAGCTCACAAGCTTGACCGATCGAAGCATCCATGACGAAAATTACGTTGTCTGGTGACACCGCATTCGACACTTCGAGCATTTCTTCGAATAGCGAATCTTCTTGCTTATGTCGTCCCGAAGTATCGACAATGATGATCTCGAAGTGCTCAGCTTTGAACTTGGCTACACCTTCAGCGGCTATGACCACCGGGTCGACTTCTGTGTAGCTACCATAGAACGGAATGCGAGCCTGGAGCGCAATCCCATTTTTAGCACATATACGATCCCGTTCTCAGCTGGCCCCCAAATAAGCCCGTCGTCATCATCGCAGAAAAGTGACGCATCGAGAGAGTACTGACCTTTGTTGCGTTCTGTTTAAGTTGATCGAAAGCACCGGCACGGAACGTATCCGCGCACACGAGGGCTGTTTTCCAACCTTTTTTCATGTAATGATACGCCAATTTTGTACACGTTGTAGTTTTACCGGAACCTTGAAGACCGACGAACATTATGGTGTTGCTGCGCCCCTTCTGGGGCGTCCAGGCTTTCACTCCGGGATCCACGAGCTTCACCAACTCCTTGAATACTGCTGATTGCACAACTTTGCGCCGATTCAGACCTGTGAATGGGGAATCGATGAGCGGATTTCGTCCGAATGCAAGATAGAGTTTCCAATGTATTGGCACGTCCCTGATGGCGGTTCACATCAGAGGAACTCACCGACGGCCATTTCTTCGATGTCTATGGCAGCTCTGACGTTGTCGCGAAGTTGCTTCACCAAGCGAACGTTTATGTCCGACTCTAATAAGGCAGCACATATTTCCTTGAGCATAGAATCAAGAACCTGGAAGTTCTCATACTAGTTAGAAACATGGCCAGCAAGACGCTCCTTCCGTTCGATGATCGAACATGCTCGAAGACAATCAGGGAGGGAACAGATTGAACGAATGGAGAGTGAATTCACCTCTTGGTTTATGACCGTCGCAGTCGACAGGTTCCGGAGAGCGCCGGTGATGCGCCGTCCGAGATCCGCCAACACCATCTTGTTTTATCTAGGAAGAATTTCAATGCGTTAGTTCCAATCATCACTACCGCGATCTTAGAACGGATCGAGAGGAAGGACTCCAGGCATGGATCGACAATTAGGCAGGGCTGACAGAACGTCTGGTCCCGGTTCCAGGACTGATCTCGTGCATCCTTGCCGATCGCAAGTTCATCTCCCCGTCACGACGCTTTGATCATGTTGGTCATCATGAGCGTCCCCCTGCTCTTACGAGCTCAACCATAAGACTATCTAGCTTCTTATGAGTTTGATTGTGCTTATGAAAGTCACGATCTGGAACCTGCGCAGCATGGATTTTGGGTTTGTGACTTCGGAAACTAAATGTATGTGGGCTTCGATAGAGTCTGCAACCCGACGTGCGGGATGCTGGATTCCCCTCCCGCAGCTATACCTCTCTGTTTTTTTGGGACTGCTAAGGGAAACGCTTCCGATCGAGAATCGTTCGACAGTATGAGCTCGCGGCGAGCCCCCGAAGCGACGACGCCGAGAATTTCTGTTCCCCATCCCAGACGACATCCACAGATACGCCATCGTCTTGTCACGCTGTCCAGGCAGCTCGTCTCGAGACCGCTGATTATTTCGGGAAGCCAAGTTAGTCCGCAGCTACATAATCTGAACAGCTGTTTCCGAATTGCGGAAAACTCGTTTGGTGGGAACGGAGCGACCACGCGGCCCCACACAACACGAGCTACATATAGACAAGCCGGTACGCACTTGCGCTTCTCTCCTTCACAAGCGATAACTCTGATTTCGATCCTTCGAGAGTACAACGTGAGAATAAACTTCAAAACACAACGCCGCAGCTCATCATCACATCCACACACACACGGATGCAGAACGTTTCTCGAGAGTGATGATTTGGAAGGTTTGGATGAATGCATTGAGAATCGGGTATGTTCTGTCAGGCAGGCGCGCGAAGAGTCTTCTAACTACCGTGTTCCTGGGACTTTTATTCGTAGTCGCGGTCTCGAACCATCTCCCGTCATACGCTTATGCTTCCTGGGAGATCAGAGAGCACCATTGTGGATAACGCGGCGGAATGGAAGTTTGCATTAATTCGATTCTCGCGCGCGAATAGGCACCTGCTATGAGGTTAATGCCCTGGAGCTTCGATCCCGAAAACTATTCGTGTCGATCCGGCTCCGATGATCGACATTCAACTGCACCCTTGTATATTCGCCCTTGTGCTACATGCCCGCCTCGCGACGGAGTTCTGAACTTCGCAGACTGATTTCGGACGATCTACACAGCTCACTGCAATCAAAGTGCTCCTTCCGTGGGCGGTCCAGATCACCTCAATGTGCGACTTTAGAATATTCTCCATAAGATATCCTATTCACCGGGGGAGCCTCATTCGTCATCAGCAACGCAGAGTTCGAAGCCAAGGTCTGGAAGAAATCGCAATGATCGTCATTCCATGGGTTCCTCCGTCCCCGAATCGATCATTGACTACAAGCCCACATCTGAATTCGAGGAGTGCTTTTCAAAAAGTATTAATGTGCTCGACCGGACCAGAGGAGACATTCATCTAATCCAACCTAGTCGCCGTCGAGCCCGAGCGGAGAACGAGGTCATCATCAACGTGGAAATTACGTCTTGATTGGAAGCCTGAACTCACCACCAAAAAGTATCGGCCCACCTCGAGGATGGAGCGCGGGACCTCCGCGACGATGACGGCGTAACCGTAGCGCACGTCTGCACGCGGCGCACGTTGGTCTTGATATCCCGGATGGCCGAATTAATCGTTCACATAAGAGACTTCCCTCGGAATACGGCGATCCTCCGCACCCACAATCCGGTATTGCGGTTCTCCGCTGCTAAGAGTCTTGAACATATAAGGGATCCCGGAAGCCCGCGACCGTGCTTTCCCGGCATCTCGGGCTCACATATTGTAGCCCCTGGAGCCCGTTCCATCAGGATCGGGAATGATGGGTCCCGATTCCCGATGGATCCCGAATCGCGGGTGCCCGGCTCGTGTGCGCTGGAGAGGCGCTGCGGTCGCACCGCTCATTTAACGGAGAACAGGCCGTCCGCCATCTTGCCTCACGGAGACGAGGAGAGCGGCCAACAACAAGAGAGTACTGTTTCCACCGCATCAACTGTTACCGAAGATAGTGGCAGAACGATTTCATCGGAGTCGATCGCTTCTGGATTTACGGAAGCTGCTTACGATCGGTGAGTTCATCTGAAGGGCGATCTCTTCGCTGATCGAGCCCCTGAATCACGACGCGTACAACGGGTTTGACCGCTTGAAGCGTTCATGCTTCCGTGTTTGCGGCTACAAGCTTCAGTTACCGATTCTGATTCATTCTTCCGCCGCGAGAGAAATCCACGGCCGACGGCCCGCAGAGTAGAGCCGAGGGGGGTTCGTCTGGGATGACACATGACGCTCTCACGAAAACTCGATAGTTCACTAACCTGGACGCGGCAGACGAAATGTTCGGACCCTATCAGGAGCTCTCCCTTCTTGCTGTTCCGCAGTGTTTGACACCCAGAGAAGCGACGCGTGACGGCGTCGACAGGCGTCGGTGATTCGCAAGGCTCTCTAAAAGATTTGATTTTTCTGACATTGGATTCGCCGGTCTTCGTCCGGTTGACAGGGATCTTCGGGAGCATTCTCCCTTCCCCGTGTCCGACAGAAAAGAAAGGGAAAATCTCATTGCATCTGGAGACGATTCTCCGAAAGCAGGAACATGGGTCTTCAGCGTCGATTATATGGTGCCCTAGCAGCGTACGGAGTTACATGCGACCGCGATATGTTCGTAATTGTTGCGAGTTCTCATTGCCCATGAATTTACTTCTCTTCGGCCGAAAATCCTTTTGGAGCGTGAATCGAGCTCTAGCGGCCGGGGGAAATCGACGAGAATCGATTTTTAGTTTCGTGGGCTCAACTCGAGCATGTGAGCGCGACAACTCGAAGGAATATTCTCATATGATGATACCGTATGACCGAAGTCGTAACCATCACCTTATGCGTGGAATTGTACCCTATCCACCGGTTGGAGACCCCCGTTATTCCTCTAAATCTATATCTAACTTGGAATATTTATTGCAGACATCGTACTCATCATTTCATTTTTTTTCTGGAAGGCTGACGATAGTTGATGTAATTCAATACCCGTGATGAGAATCCTTAAGAAAGCTCTTTCCGTTGATCGGGACTGCCGCCTTTCCTCTTGATAGCAGCGGCGGTGGCCATATTCAGAGCCGCAGTCCCGCCTTTGCCGAGACGTATCTCATCTCATTCAGAACGAGAGATCCTGTGACATCCATCTCGACAGGTCTCGATTCGTTTACTCGCGATTGCATAAAAAAATGCTCCCCCTGTCTCCCTGTAAGAGCTGCCTCTTTAAATCAATGGACGACAAGTCCTCGAGAAATTCCCTCGTTTGAGGGTCTCACGTGAAAAAGCTTCGTGGGAAACACCGGAAGCACCTTTTCCGGATTCCCGATTTTTCCCATGTATCCGAGACATTAGCCAGAGAATCTAGGACCCATCTGCGCCCGGTGGGACCAAGAAAAGAGTCTAAAATGTGGTTACAGCAGTCTGCGATGTCGCGATCGCGGGATCACGACTGCTCGACATCTTGCATACCGTGAAGTCCCCGAATCTCGATAGGCAACACGGGATTCCGGAATCAATTTATCATGAACTGAGTCGGGATGAGTTCTAGGAGCATGACAGTGTCTCGGGGTCGCAGCCCTACCTCCCGTTCAATATGTTCCATGTCATGGCTTGAGCTGAGGACTGATCTTCAATCAGTTTTGATTGAAGTCGGAAGATATCCTGGACTTAATCCAAGCCCGAAGCCCCTGAGCTCCTGGGAAGACGAGTCCCTACAGCAGAGCGTCCTTATTCCTGGCGGTCCATTGGTTCGACTTGGCTTGGTCTGTGTAGCTTTGCACTTCCCAGCTGATTGTCCGCATCGACTTCGGCGCCATCGTCGAGAGCTCTCTGTGAGAACCCTCGGGAATGGCATCGAGAACCATCGATATCGGGGAGCATCGGCGGTGAAGTCGATTTCCTCTCCTTAATTCACTTATTTTCATCGTCTTCATCATAGTCAATGAGTCGGTCGGAAGTCGAATCGACTTCGGATTCTTGATATCGGCTTTCTCGAGAGCCCGACGAAGGCCAACCCTTAACTTCTGTTCTAGCTGAATGGGATTCGCTGCCCCGCGTCGTTTTTCAATCGATTATGCAGCTCAAATCGAGGATCCCCGCCTAGAGGAATATTGCCTACCCCTCCCGAATTATTCCTTATGACTCTATTCATTTTATCGCCAAAGTTTCTGCATCCAGGTACACTGACAGGGTTGTCGTGGTCAGGAAGGCTCGGTCGATACAGCTGGTCCCCTGTCCGTTCTTCTCGCGGTGATCGAGTGATTCGCAGGCGGACGCTCTGAATCACCTGGGAGTTCCCGACTCTTGGTGGAGTGACTTGTTTTCTGAGCCGAGGCTCAAGCCCCCGGGCCTCTCTGGCAATATCTGAGAATGCATCAATGGACGGTGATCATCGGCGACGGGGTCGAGCTAATAATCTTCGACGAGCCAAACCTTCAGACTTGTATTTTCGATCTCCGCGAAGACCCAAATTTCGCTTTCTGTCTTTTTAGGTCTCCGGGCTACTGTACGGCACCGGTCGGTCGATGTTTGTGACCAGTTGATCGACGATCAATCTGTTATTGAGTCGGTCTCGCTTTGAATATATGAAATGTTCCGCGGAAGAGGCAGAGGTGGCCAGTGGTCGGGTGGGAACCGGGGTCGAGGGGGTCAGAACAATAAACAACGTCCACAGAACAACACGCAGATTATCAGTAACGTCAACAACACAAACAAGCCAAACCCAATGAAAAGAGCATCCATGCCGTCGCCACAGAAGACACAGCCCCAGGTCACACCACAGCCTGCACAGCAGAAACCTGCTCAGCAGCAGCAGGCGCAGCAGCAGAAGACACCGCAACAGCAGCAGCAGCAGCAGCAGAAACCTCCTCAACAGCAGCAGCTACAAAAGACCCCACAGCAGCAGAAGCCTCAGACCCCTCAACAACAACCTCAGCAACAGAAATTGCAACAACAGAAAACTCCACAACAACAACAAATACAGAAAACCCCACAGCAACAACAAAACACACCCCAACAGCAACAACAGAGAAAAACATCGTTGCCGAACAAAGACAACAACGAAAAACAACAAACGCCTGCTGGTGCTCCAGGAGAACTCAAAACAGAAACACTGGCACCTGCGAAGTCCTCTCCCCAGATCGGAAAGCAAAATAGCAGTCAACAACAAAAGTTCCCGCCGCAACAACAAATGCGGCCAACTGCACAACAGCAGCAGCAACAACACCAGATGAGCACTCCGTTGAAACCGATGTCGCAACAGCAGCAGAGCAATGCTGCCGAAGACGACAACTTGAGCAAAACAAAGCTTTTCATCGCCACTGTGAAACAAGGCATCAGCGATCAGGAATTCCGGGAACTTTTCACGAAGTTCGGCAATGTCACAGATCTGTTTCTGCATAAACAGAAGTGGTTCGGTCTCGTTACGTTCGAGAAACACGAGGAAGCTGAAGCGGCGCGGAAGCATTACATTAATTCAAACATCCTCAAATTGAAATGGGCTCAAGACAGTAACAAGGAAACGCCGCTCATTCTCAACCAAACACCGGATCAGATTCCCGTGAAGAAAGACTCCAGCTCAAAATGCCGGTTGTTTATTGGGAACCTGATTCCCGACATCACTGAAGACGGTATGCGGAACCTCCTGGAACCGTTCGGCAATCTTGTCGAGTTGTTCGTACCCCCGGGTAAAGGTTTCGCCTTCGCACGGTACGAGACCCGGGCAAACGCCGAAGCTGCCAAAAGTGCCTTGGATGGCGAGCTATTCTCAAACCGCCAGTTGCAGGTCCGCTTTGCCAGTCAAGGAGCAGTTTTGAAGGTTCGGAACCTGAGCCCGTTCGTTAGCAACGAACTGCTCCACCAGGCGTTTGAACCGTTTGGTGAGCTCGAGAGAGCGACGGTATTCGTCGACGAGCGAGGCAAATCACTAGGAGAAGGCATCTTGGAGTTCTCCCGGAAACCGGTCGCTCTAGCTGTCATGCGTAAGGCTCAACTAGAATGCTTGCTCTTGACAACGTCACCTCTGCCGGTCATCATAGAGCCCATGGAGCTGAAGGATGATGAAGACGGATATTCGGAGAGGACTATAAATAAACAATCGACTGGATATTTGAAAGAGCGCGAGAAAGGACCTCGATTCGCCGAACGCGGAAGCTTCGAATCCGAGTTCGCCATGAAGTGGAAAGAACTTCTCGCCTTAGAAAAACTCAAAAAAGAGCAGCTCGATAGGGAGATTCAATTGGAAAAGCAACGGCTCATGGAAGAGATGGATATCATGAAGTACGACTACGACGTCGAAGCGTTGAAACGACGTTTGAAAGCGCTCGAGGCGCGCCACGACGAGTTCGAGAATAGGAAAATGGCTGCGGAGAAGAACAACAAGGCACGAGAAGATGAGCTCCGTCTTCTCCGCAAGAACATCGCGAAGCGACAAGCTGAGATTCTCGGCTACACGTACGAGGACGAAGACGCGAATCAGCCGCCGCCGCCGCAAGCCGTGGATCAGAAGTGCGCGCCCGCTCCCGATGCCCACGGTGTTCCCCAACAACTGCTAAGCGGTCACCCCGTCGCGGATGCGGTACTCGGGGCGGCGCTCCTGCCCCCTCCGGGACCCCCCGGAGAACAACAGCCCTCCGCAATGGCCGAAAATTTCCTGAAGAACTGGAACTCGATCACGAAAGGCGTTCCCGTAGGGCAAGACGACCAGAATAAGAACGCTCAGCAGCCGCAGCAACCTCAGACGTCGCCGCAGGCAGCGGCGGCAGCCGCGCATAAGATGCAAAATACCAACATGCCCGCGTATATGTCTTATATGGGACAAGCGACTAACGGTAAACGTGTCAGCGACATGATGCCGCCCGGTCAGAAACGGAGGCGTTTCTAATTCGTTTTTAGTCTAAGAACTTCGTATACGCCGATGCGTCCGTTTCACTCCATCCTAACCTTACTCGAAATTCTTGTGCCACTTGTCAAATGTGTACATATTTGAGATGCTCTTCATTATTCTGAAGTAGGTCACTTCCGCATTATCATCGAGGTTGACTCCGATGGTCTCATGGCAAACAGCAGAGGTATATTCTGACGATCAGTAGTTTAGCTGTCACGATACAACAGCGATTCCGATAGGCCCTATTGAACTTGCTTATGAATTCCCTCTCCGTTGAGACGAGTGTTTCTCTGACCGCAGCATATTGGATGAAGAAGTGGCCGATCGAGATCGATCGAACTGTCTATTTATGAAGTGAAAACTATATAATGATCAAAATATATGAACAATTTTCCGTGCTACGAGCAAGAGACTTTTCGTTCGTACGTATGTATATTATCATTCGGAAGGATGCCGGATGATCTCTCGTGCTGCGCTATCGCCGATGGTATTTCGAAATGGACCTGTCTCTTCCGCTCATCCAGGAGCGTCAATCAAAATTATGAGAGTGAAAAAAAAGAATCAATCAGACCTGAATCTTCGAAGCTTCACCCAGAAACTTCCGTCACTGTTCGCTTGATTAACTCAGATATCATCATCCTCAATCATTTGAAGTGGATGCTGGAGACGGATTCCTCGCGTAGCCAATGATCGAGATTTCATCGAGAAATCGGGCGCTGAGGTACTACTCTTCAGATGCAGATATCAGTAAGCATTCGAGCGAGGAGAATGTTTTCGAGAAGAACTCGGCTTGCGAACGCTTCATGTAGACATCATTCTCTATAATAATGAATTATCATCGATCAAGAACCTGTTTCATTGAAAGGAGCTTTATCCTTCAGGTAAGAACAAGTTTGAGGACATTTTCACTCTTCCGGTGACTGTGATCACAGCTCATTATGACCACGATTGAATATATACATATGTATCCGGAGAAGTTCCGATGGAGAAGGGTCGAGCCCACACGGAACTAGAGGGGACCGCGAACTCTGAAATTTGAAACTTGAAAGCTTTTTCCCCCGGGGTTCTTATCATAATTCCTGACGCAAGGATCAACTCGATTAATTTCGGAAATCCCCCGTCGTCGAAAAGAACTACTCCCGTTTGTCGGGAATTTCGAGTGAAGGGAGTGCGGTCTCGCCATCAGAGATGGCAATGCAAGACCCTTCTGGGAGGTGGAGTCACATGCTCGCGCCTCAATGGGGGAACGAGCGAATTTACGGTATTTCCCGTGGACATGAAAAAACATATCCCCGTACATTCAGCTGCATCGGCGAAGTATACTCATGTCCCCAAAGGATTTTGTTATTTGCTGTCTCATGCTGGACCCGTCCGCGCTTCTATCGGCGACTGCCCACCGTAGTCTCCCTCTGATTTCCCTAATGATTATTATAATACTGATGACTCTCGGATCCTGTTCGGACTGTCTAGAAGTCATCGAACGGAATTGTGAATGGAAAAAATATCAACAATATCAAAATGTCAATGATACTGACAGAACGAGGTGTATCTTGGATTGGGCATTGTCGGCCCGCGCTGAGCAGACCCAAGGAGCTAGCATGAATTGAGATCGTGGAACCATTCATCGAGTTACCGTCCGCCGAGCCATTCGGCATTCTCCGATTCCGAGTTCATTACTCATCGGCGTTTGCTTCGACTACCACGATCGACGATCTGTTGCTCAACTTGCTGAGAGTTATCAGCGGATCGTCCGGAGTCCACAACACCAGCGCTCGTGCACCAGAGCCCCATGAAGATGTGGAGGTTCGAGGCTCTCCGCCAACATGAGGATCGAGCTCGACCGGCTCGCCGTCGATGAGGCGCTCTAGCAGTGATCGCTCGCAGATGAGATCACTGGAACGACGGACCTCAGATCTTGCGTCGATATACGAGGGATTGACTTCTTTGGAGCAGGAAGGAGTCAACACTTCGAAAGTTGCCTTCCCAGCGCGAGTCGTGAGGCAGTATAATGTTCAGGAATCTCCAGGCGGCAGTCCCGCGAACCTGATGAACCGCAATCCGTTATCGCTCCACCGAACTCGGGAGCGGAACGTCATGAGTCGCGTCTTGTTTTTCTTTTTTGAGAGTCGAGTCCGTCTGCGAACCGGCTCCGGACGATTTCGACGGTGCGTCTACTCAAGCTCCATATGAGCACTTCTATATCACCCCAGGGAACCCGGTCAATACATTGTAAAAGAGTTAATTCCTATCCGGAGAACTCTGTGAAAACCTTTTTTCATGTCCCTCTACGTACGTCTCAAATCTCTGCGGCAACGGACGAGCCAGGAGCAGATCTGGGTGGAAACTGTCGAATCCCCGTGGGTGACCGATCTCGAATGAATTGTTTCATGGAACGCTGGAAACTTTTCACCCTGGCTCCCATTACTGCTAGAAGAGGGGTTGATGATTCAGAAACGCTCTCCTCTGTGAGCTGGATTGAAGACGACGCTTCTGTCCAAATTGGTGATTAAATTATTCGTTGAATCGATGTCTCTTGTGACGATCCACTTCCGCCGGTCGGTCGCCGCCGACTTTTGGAGACCTGCTCGAGGACTTCACAAGAACCCGAGCGGTCTTCGACTGAGCACGCGCCCGGAGCCCACCGCTCGGGACCGTACAATCAGTCGCTTCCGATCGTTAGTCAATCGATTATCACCGGTTAGTGTAGCGGGTCTTGCGCTCAATCGCAAATCTTAGTTTCTGAATGAGCGGGTCTGAGCTCTAGGTCACGTTGATATAATCGAGGCCCGAATGACGAAAATGCCCGTGCCCGATTGTCCTGCTAGGCTCATCGATCAGCTCAGATCCGAGAGTGGAGTCACTTCCAGAGCTAGGCGAGGACCAATCAGCATGCAGAGCCTTCTCGGATATCGAGCAAGACTCGTCGGCCCTTGGGTTAGCTCGTTCCGCAGGCTCGGACCTGTTCCGATGCCTCGGAGACCAGAGATAGATATTTATCTCTTGTGAGGACCCAAAGATCTTGAGTTGTTGAGCCTCTGAACTCACTACATCTCCGTCTGACCTGGGACAACAGTGCGCTGCAGGATGCGCATGCAAAAGTATCGAGAGAACAAATCCTCGCTCACGTGAAGATATTCGCGGCGAAAATATTTATTCAAGCCTCCCTCGTCCAGACCCTGACGACTCCGCGCTGGAGGAGTTCATCTTGCTCACTATACTTACGGGAACAGAAATTGCCGATGGGACGCAATCGGGAGAAATCGCGCCTCTCCATCACCAGGAACGATCGAGAATCCCTCGCGATCGAGATCGAGCATTTCCCTTTTCACCCGGAAGAAGTTCTGAGCTCCAGCAGAGCTTTCGCTCTTGCTGCTTGCTGGATGGCGCCGGGAGTCCGAAACCTCTCCGAGTTGCAGGACCGAGACTGAAGGGCTCGGTTCGAGCCTGCGACGGATCAGGGTTGAGGAGGAACGCTGTTTCGAGCCTGCTTTGATGGGAGCTTGTGAAGAGAACCTCCGAGATCCGATTGATGCCACAGCCGCCATTACTAATTATTGTTAGGTAATTAATCTGAGGAGGGCGTCACTTATGAGAGGTTCTCACGGCTGGGGTGGGAGAATCGTCCGATAAAGAGAATCAAGTTCCGCTTAACGTATGCTTATCCGGGACCGCTTCGCCCCCGATGCAGAGCATCCCACGAAGTACAGGACCTACATGAATTTCATTTGCTTCTGTGGTAGATAACTTTGACGGTGTCGACTCCGTGCCTTGACACTGAAGCTGCTATTTACAAGACTGCTGAATAAATCGAAAGCGATGGCTTGCTACAATACGCTGAATAATTCCGAAGATTTCGACTCCATCGACTTATTGCGTCCTCCTGATGTCTGCGGCGTCCTCTGAAAATCGAGAGGGTCGCACCATGGAACGGCGGAAGATGCCTCGAGGATTAGGACTCGATGCGCTCAAGACATCACGCTCGGGAGTTCAAGCAACTCTATCGCGCCGGTTCGGTATAATATTCCATCAGACCCACGCGAGAGGAGAGATCCGAGATCTGGCGGCGGAGCATTCGCTTAAAAACGCATTTCGACCCCTTCCCCAAATCTGGATCTTCCTGTGCATGTTTGTCGAGGGATTCGATTGACATATAGTTCTGTCGAGTCGCAGTGACCCGAGGAGCTCTGAGCTTCTAGGGGTACATCAGCGGCCTTGACGAACATCAATGGACCGGATCCAAGCAAGCGGTCGATACATCGCTCGGTCTCTCGGTGGAATCTCGCTTGTTCCGATCATTGAGAATCCCATGTTCGTCATGCCGAAGGCGAGCTCGTCAAGGGGGAGGGGCTTAGTTCTCGCCCTTTATCCGTGTCCGAATGATGATTTACTAATTAAGATTACCGAGCCGAAAACGTATCAGCATCAACCAGAGTCAAGCATCCTGTTTTCGCGGAATCCGGTATCGGAATCCGGTATCGGACTCCGGTCGGCCGTGACTCGGGAGATGATAAAGATCTCCTCCAATGCTTGTCTTACCACAACGGGACTCGGAAGACTTCTGAGGAAGATACAGCCCTCGGTTACCTCAGGCTCCGCTGAGGGATTCCCCGTCGATTCGAGCCGAACCCGAGTTCCTCCGACGAGAAATTCGCCGCCCGGCTTGGTATCTGCCCCTCAACGAGACGCCCAGTCGTTTGGAACCATGCATTCGCTCCGCACGTGTGGATCCCTCGCCGATGGCAGGATTTTTCCGGGACTTTTTCCGCACTGACCCCCGGAGATTCATGGCTCGCGTGTACTGATGAGCGTCATTCTGATTGTGCGCATTCTTTGGCTATTCACCTTCGACAACTCGGAGTTGGTCTTCTCGAATTCCGTTCGAGCGTAGATGCGAGTCAGGTCCTCTCCAATCAAGAGAAATACGTCTCATCAGAAAGCCGGAATTAGCGCGATAGTATCGGGCGGTCCGAAGCTTGTAGATCGTTGATGAGACAGCTTCTGAGCCGTTTCACTTTAATGTCGCAGGAGATTTACTCTGCCGCGACCTTCGAAATCGTTCAAGCCGGACACAACGAGAATAATTGCAGAGCACTATTATCCTGCTATAACGGCACTACACATCGGGGACTCAAATCACTCGCTCTTTGTATTGTGTATCGAGACTGATTGGTAATCGAAGGGGACAGAAGCATCATCAATTCCGGTTTCGAAGCTCGGATAGTATTTGGATGAAAGGAGCCATCTAGCTTCACTCGAGAAGGGAGCGAGACTCTCAACTCAAATTGAGTCACGAGAAGCGTAGAGGTACTGTTCACGGGAACTTTCCTCCGACAGTCTTCGAGCTTGAACCGGTCGAGCACCGAGCACGCCGCCCCGGCGCCGCTCGCCGGTGATTCTCGTGATATTCCATCGGATCTTTCTGCGGCGGGTTCCGTTTCCGGATAGCGATACTGAGAGTGAGATTTCTGGATCTGAACCGTACTGGCGTAGGCTCGTCGATAATTTGCCTCAGATGGGCGCCCAGAAACAGCTCCCGGGAAGTCTTTGATTCACTTGCATGAATCTTCTCGGATGAAACTGATTTGCAGAAGATTTTTCCGCCTCTCAGAACATCGCCGAATTTCGGCCTAGAGGCGATAACGTTGCGAGAAGATTTCTGTGATTTTTGACTTCGCTTTGATTCTCTGCCTTAAATCTTATTTCCGGTTTCAGGTAGGTCGACATCGACGGAAAAAAGACCAGGTTTGAGAGGGCTATCCGGAACGGAGATCGTCATTCCGATCTTATTTGATTCGCCTGAGTTCGGACTGCCTTATATACGGATGCTACAATAAAGCGAATATCAAAAAAGAAAACTCAGAGTGCTCTTTACTGACTGTGCACCCACACACCTAGGAGTACAAATCTAGGAATCGAACGGTTGAGCTCGGCAAATGTTACCCTCTCCCGAACGCAGCGACGCTCTATTCCCATTAACCTTCTGATTAGGTTGCAAGGCGGGTCCAAACGAACGCAGGGAGGTAGCGGAAAAGGACTCGCATGCCCGGGGGAATCCCCTGCTGACAGGATGAAAGGTCACGGAATTCCCGCGAACGCCCCCGCCTCTGGACCAGGAGCCCGGAAGATAGGTGCTTTCGGCAACGAAGCTCGTGTGTGGGTTAAGGAGTCACAGGAGGAGAAAGGAAAGGAGGATGGCGATTGGAGGACGGGCCAGGAATGGCTCTCCGCATGCCTCCTCTGGTGATTCGAGCGAAGCGGCGTTGCATGGTTGGCTTGCATGGGTCTCATCGAATTCTAGCACAACCTCAGCGTGAGCCGTTCTCAGGATGCCGGCGTGTTCTCCTGCGAGACCGCTCCTGTTGTTGGCCGTGGCAATAAAGTGTGGCTGCAGAACTCTCTCCTGCTGTCGCTCCTCAACGCATGCGTGACCCTCTCGCACACTCGAGCCACACTCCAACGAACGTAGACGGTCGCTTGCCTGCCTGCCTTCCTGCCCCATCGTCTGTTGTTCGTTGTTGGATATTCGCGGTGAAGCCCGCGGACCGATGAATGACGTTCGTGTGCGTGGACAGCCGGAACATAACAGGAAAAGTTCCCCGAACCTCTGAAGAAGCTCGGTCTGCTTCGCAAGCGACCATCGGATAAGTGGTTCCATCCTCGGAGCCCGGCTCTCCTCGTTGACCATCCGAGAGTGGATCTAGAGACACCGTGATCCCTAGTGCGTTCGAATCATTTGGAACAAGCCGTTGATCTTTCATCAGCCGACTGAGTCGAGGGAGCAACCGATTGACTGTCAATCTCTTTGATCGACTAATCGACAGATTGACGAACGGACGCGCAGGCTGTCGATCTCACTAAGTGGAAACATTGATACAAAACCAGACATCGAACGCAGTGCTGCTCCATAGTTTCGAGATCAGTGATATTCTTCTCGCGCTTCCCTTGGATCGCATTTAAGGAACGATGTCTCCGATCCTCTTCTGTGTGTGATGATTGACGGGCAGAGTTTCGAAGTCTTTATCGTAGTTGAAATAGTTGCCGGAAAATCGCCCCTTTGTGAACATGAAGATGGCCGGATCTGAGGAAGACACAATCAGGGTGTGTGAGGCATACTGCGAAAAGCACGAGGTGCAGCGCCTTCTTAAAGAGTGCATTGTTCAACTGTGCATGCAAAAACCCAACAATCCGGTGGCTTTCCTCAGGGATTATTTCACGAGACTCGAAAAAGTAAGTCGGTCTCCCCATCCTTCGAATTCCCCTCCCTGCCCTAGAGTACGAGATTAGATAGAGAGCAACAAACATTCAGTGTGCGGGGACTACAGAACACTTTTTGTCCAGCCGATCGCCACTTCTGGAAGTTGTGAGCGCTCCGAGTAATCATTCGAGCGCAGAACGACGATGGCAACGAAATAAATATCTCGTATCGGTTTCGGATGGCGTACTTCCAGAGAAGAAGGGATTCGAGAAGACAACAAGCTCGAATTCAGCAGCTGCGCGTTGAGGAAATCCGAACAGAAAACACGTCGTTCAAGAGGGTTCGGTCTTGTCTTCGAGATCGGTTACCGAGCGAAAGTGAATTCAAGCCGATCGAGGAGCTGATTCTCACGAGACTGCTGGAATGTTTCGTCGCGTGTCGATTGTAGCTCGGCCGCGTGAACTCACGACTCGTTCTCATGACAAAGCGTCGGTCGTTTTGCGCCACTGACAAAATACAACGTTACGCGCAGACTGCTGCCACGGCCGGCTATGGCAACCGACAACACACGGACGGCGAGAACGACAGGAGGAATATTTTCTCTAACTCGTCTGAGTGAATCGAACTCATCGGACGACGACCGTTCCCATTGTCAGGCTGACTACGGTTGAGCGCATATTTCATGAGTGCGTGGACCTTTTCAATTGATCACTGTTCATAGGCGCTTGACATTGTCGCCTTGTCGCCGCCGCCGCCGCCGCCGCCACAGGAGACCGTGCGGGTAACTACCGGGCGGCGCGGCGGTAGCAGCACTCGTAGCGACGGAACTTGCAGAGCAACGTAAAGCGTAGCAATGCAGTTTGCCCGCCGCTTTCTGACTGAGGACGAGCTGGCTGGCTGGCTGGCACGGGGCCCTTTCTCCCCTTTCCCGCTCCGCTCTGTCTGACCTACAAGGCGATACCAGCGGGGCCGACGGCGGCGGCGGTAGCAGCAGCAGCAGCTCCAACCAAGATGGCGGCGTAGTTCCTTCGACGACAACGGAGACGAAAACGAAAGACGTACAAGAAAACGTTGTCGAGATCGAAGACGGCGTCCGAACAGCGGATGGCTGGGCCTGTCCACTCGGTCTGTGCTGCCCATCAGTTCTCCGAACACGAGCAGCCTCGGGACCACGCCAGAGCGAGCTAGCTGCTGACTGGATGCACTGCTCATGATCCACGGCAGTACCAGCAGCCGCCGCAGGATTGATTGTAGGAGCCGCAAACTCAACAGCAGTTGCAGCAGCATCAGCAGAGACCAAGTGCAAAGGAATTCACGTTTGGAACGACGGCTCTGATATCACAGGCGCCGTCGCAACCGCCGACCGACGCTGCAGCTCCAGTGGCAGCTCGCGTAGTTTGATGCAAACGAGGAGGAGAAGGAGGAGATGTGTTTGCAAGTAAGTTATTCAATTGTCTCGATCGGTGGAGAGCGATGCCGTTTGTGTGGGAGACCTGTGGGGATTCGTAGCTTTCCTGAAGGGCCGCGAGAGCGGATCTCCGATAGTTCGATTACTGCGGTTCGGAGGTCTCAGTGACAGTATTCTCGATTTCCACGGAGTTCCGAACGTATCGTTCAGTTTTGGTGAGCTGAATGTGAACATACGCGCAGTGATATCCCCTTGTCCGCAATCTTTGACTCCCGTGAGAACCCGGAACGATCAACGATCCGCACTCCTAGGACTGAATAGAATTAGTATTTGTCAGCTCAATTCATCCTCGAGAAAGTACCAAAGAACCACAAGCTCGGTCAAGTCCGGGAGCCGAGCGAGCTGTCATGGAGCGGCTCAATTCATTCGATTCCATCCGAGCATATCGAGCATACTCGGTGCAGCTCATGATCAGCAGGTGTTCCGATAGTTTCCCTATCCCCGGGCTTGTTTACAACGGTGTAACCTCGAGCTTGGACTTCCTGAAAGCATTTCGATCGAGGATTCGATCGCGGCTTTGTTCGACATAAACAATGTCCTGAGAACCTTGTGAGCGGACGGGAAGGATCCAAATCGGCTCCTTAGCGTGGAATGACCGAGCACCGAGACACTGGTCGGACCGCACCACTCTGGGAAGTTTCGCGAGATTAGATGCTGAGCGAGACTATTCGAATGCGTTCCCCGTTGATCGCAGCGAATCATCGGGTTGTTTCGCGCCGGAAACTTCTGCACTGAGCCATCGTTGGTGGTGTTTGTTGTTGTCGCCGTCGTCTCCGTGTCCATGGTGGTGCCCGGTTCCCTCGGCGGAGATCGGCGAGTAGTCATGCTCTGATCGCTGTTGGCCACTCCAAGCTCTAACTCGATGCTTGTTGATGGTGTCAGTGGCAGCAACAGTAGAGGTGGTGGCGGCGAAGACGACGACGATGATGATGATGCGGTTGATGATGATGCTGGTGGTGGTGGTGGCGACGACGACGACGACGACGAAGACGATGATGGGGAGATGAAGGAGGAGGAGGAGGAGGAGGAAGAGGTAGACCCAGTGAGCAAGCAAACCAGTCAACGAGTGAGCCAGGTTATTTTGAGCTCTAACGGCTGCTGCAGCCAGTCGCGGCAGTGAGCCAGGGAGCTCTCGGAGAAGGCCCTGCTGCTACCAGTGAGTGAATCAAGCAGCTAAGCAGCCAGCCTCCTAAACATTCAGTCAGTCAGGACGAGCCACCGAACGACCGAACGCGCAAGCCAGCTCTCGGCTAGGCCACACAGCCCGCGAGCAAGAGAAGAATCCTCCCTCAATGTGCAGGCCATGGGCGAGTGAAGAAGCAGCAAGCGAACGGACGAGCGAGCGAACGAACGAGCGGACAGACGAGAAGCCAGGCGGCCGGATAGACATCCCGCCAGCTAGTCCGACAGCCAGGCAACCAGTCTTTCAGACAGACCGTCCGTCAGTCAGTCAGTCACTTACTCAAGTTAATCTGCTCGGGAGGAAGCGACCAAACTTCCGTTTGTGATCCGCCGTAGACTCTCGGACGTTCGAGACAGTTACGCTCTAGCGGCGGTGTTCTGCAGTGTTCGTGATCGCCGTTGTGCTCCAATACCCAAGGAGAAAGGACCTTTTCTCCGGAGCGTTTTCGTCGGCAGCTCTCCTTGTGTCGTTCGATCGGTGCTGCGGTCGGTCTGACGGTAACTTGGTCGATAAATAATCGTCGGGAGCTCTTCTGCTATCAAGTTCTCCCCTTCACTTCGGACTGACAGCCGGACCACCGAGCTGCTCCGACAGACGTTTGAATAGGCTACTCTTCTAGTTTACGGAACTAGAGCTCTCGGTCGATCGTCGGTCGTCCCTCCTGAGAGCCCATGGCTGTACGTAAGACTCTGTGCTGCTTTAGTCGCTCATGTAGCCTGGAAATTCTCCTCGATTCTGCCCGAATTCTGATCCTCTGACACCTCACTGCACACTCTGAACACTCTAGAAATCGCTCTCGATCGATCCTGGCGATTACATTGCCGCGACGTTGAAAGATGGCCCCCTAGGTGTTCTTGGCCACTTCAACTCGATGCTAACGGACTGCTATAGCTCCGGGTTCTGGTCTGGGAGGGAAATCACTTCGCCGTGATTCCATTGTACGCTGTACGCAGTCCACAGGCGAAAAGAACGCGTTCAGGCACCAACAAATAACCCACAGCGGCCATCTATGCTACGAATTGTGTAGAAAAATTGTTGTTATTCAACAGGCAGCTCGAAACGTTATTTTGGGCCGAGAGCCCGAGAGTTCGCTGAGAGCAACCGGATGCTTGGCTGGCCGCATACATGAATGAGGCTTCGGTGGCCAACGGCTCAGCCGGCTAGCCTAGCTTATGCCCAGCGCAGGCTAGAAGCCAATTTGCCAGCCAGCCGGCCGGCCGGTCAGTCAGTCAACCTGTCGGCCGTTTTGACCCGCGCGCCCTCACGCCCGCCCGTCTGCCTGCCTGCCACCCGAAAGCCATCAGGCTAAGTTAAGTTTTTCTCGCCGAACCTCTTCCTGGAAGAAAGCAGCTCAGGACAACCCGGTCAGCTGGAGGCCCTCAATGTCAATTCGGTAATTAACCGCTCCCTCCGCGCTGGGCGTCGCGTCTCCGGTGCTCAAGAGAGGCGTTCGAGATCCCCGGGGGAGTCGCTCCTCCCAGGGGTTAGACGAGTAACAGCTCGTGGTATGTTGGGACCTGGAACGATACGCGCTGAACGTCTGAATTACCGAAAACACTCTCCCGATATCGGCTTGGATGCCGTCGCGGCCTGCGCGCTTTATTACGCGCGCTCAACTCGCGTTCCTCTGGAAATGTGTCGGGATTAATCCGACCCAGGAGAAGCTCTGACTTCGTTCTCGAATGTTCGTCACGTAATTCATCGAAGCGATTCGGACGAATCATTGCCCCGTAATCGGTCGATAGCGCCAACACTCGAGTTCTACCCAGCTCGGAATGTGGTGTCTGTTGATGCAAAGATGGAATGTGCAGCACGTTCCCGTGCAAAAAGCCAGTCATACGTTCATGTGTCACATTTGACAGCGAAAAATTTCCGAAAGAGAGGCCCTTGTTTGGAAAGTTGATTTCGATCTGAGAGGACAATACCGAGACAGGCATCTAGCTCAGCGTCATTTCCGCCTACATCATAGTATTCTGTGAAGTGAAACCCCGCGGAGAAGTTTATGGAAGATAAATACGCCGCTGACGTCGACGTAAGTTCCAGCTCGGTGGCCTAAAGGCTTTCTGACTGCTCCGCTGGCTCTCGGTCGATGTTGTCTTGTTGCTTCGCTGACGGTTGTAAGTGTCCGTCCAGACGTGACCGCACACCTCGCGCCGGCGTCTTGTCCTGTCACTCAGCGGCGGCGGGGCACAGCTAGGCTCCTATTCAGAGAGCGGACTAGTATGCGCCCGTTCGTTCATTCTTTTTTCGGTGGTGGTACGTCAGCTATTTCCGCTGCCAACCGAAGGCTCAGCCTTGCCACCAACCAGCCTCCCATGCTCGCGATACGTGCGAGCAGCGGGACTCGGTAGCTTTAACGTGGATCAGACACCGTGACTCACCGTGTTTCTCTGCGACATATATAGTGGCTGTAAGACACTGTCAACAGCTGGCTTTCATTTATCGGGGTTACCTGGTGGTCCTGGTACTAAGCAAACTTTCACGTTACAGGAGACCGCAATGAAGAGCAAGGGCTGCCTGACCACCTCGGGGTCAGGTGACCAGTCCGGGGAGGAAGCTTTGTCGCCGCTGCCGCAACCCCCGGCAAGAAGTCGCCGCGGTGCCGTTTCCGCCGAGACTTACAATGAGGAAGACGCTGCGAACTACGTCAAAAAGGTGGGTCCCGTTGTTTACCCGATTTTCCATCTCGCATGCCGATCAAACCTTCTCTGATCCAAAGGATTCCATAACGTAGATCTGAGAGAGTTTCCACGTCGAGCCAGTCGGTCATCACCGAGTATTCCCGCGGGAAATCCATCGCTCATGTGTTCCTACTCGCCTCGTCTGGCTTGTCAGCATTTGGGAAAATCGAGAGGATCGGCTGCGGAAATGGGCGTCATGGATTCCGAGGGAATCGGAGTCTCTTGTCACGCGATTTCCCGAGTGCCGAAGTCTCCTTGAGCTTCACGCTCGGAAATGAGTAATTTCCTCGAGCCTCCTCGATTTTTTTTCCTCAATCGATACGCTCCGAGAAAATCTCCTTGGAGTCCTCTTCCACATACTTGACGACGGCATCTTGTACCTCCATTAGGGTTCGTATTCGAAGCTCGGATTCGCGCTCATGATCGAGTTGACGTCGACACAGTAATGTAATTTCTGTTGCCCGGATTCCTCCCGAGCGTAGTCTGAACAGCTACGGGGAATTCAACTGGCGAACGCACGGGCGAAGAGAAGATTAGAGCTCGGTATCTCGTCCGGGACGAAAGTGTGGACTGGGGGAGAGAGAGCTATCTCTGGCGTCTTCTAATTCAATTACCCAGCCGAGGCAGCACGGAGTAGGAGGGCATGACAGCGCAGCGAGACATTTCGCCTGCGTGCCGAGCAGGCGCTCGGAAACCATGTTCCTAGATGAATATCCAACGAAGACGACGCTGAAGAAGACGAAAGTGGAATATAGTATGCTGGCTCAAATTGAATTCCGTCGTTGATTTCCCTAGTTTGTTGCCGCCTTCCTGTGACTGACGACGGCGCAGCGGTGTCTCGACGAACGACTACATTTATGATGAACTCAGCCGCTGCGGTGCCGCAGTCGGAGCACGTCGATTTCAATTCCGAATTTAACGTCGCGACTTATTATCGTTCCTGTTTCTGAAGCAGCTGCCTCCATCGACCGGTGATCGGTTATCTCGCGTTCAGTTGGTCTTGTGTTGTTCACTCTTCCATCGTCTGACTAGCGTTTCCGTCATCGGATCGTCGCGAACGCCTATTCCGAATCCATGTCTGTTGAAGCGCTTGTGGCTAGACACAAGTGTAACTGATTGTAAATCCAATGAGCGTCGATGAGCAGCTCATCTATATGTGCCGCAATACCATGGCTATTCGAAAACAGCTGGCGCGGTAGCGACCGAAACAGATTCCGGCTTTGACTTCCCTGAGTCGAGATCAAATTTAAATTCCGGAGACGTCACGTTCCACGTTTCCGCTTCCGCGGGGAATGCCGGAGCCATGCGAACTTCCTCAGCTCTTCGGGAGGCATCTCGACAGTTTGCCGAAGACTGCTAGGCTTAAGGTCCACAATTTAAAAGTTTTCGAATTTTTCTCTCTCCACAGAATGTTCCAAAGGACGAGAAAACTCGAGCTGCGTTGTCTAAAGCAATCGAGAAGAACGTTCTATTCAGCCATTTGGATGAATCTGAGAAGAAGGACATATTCGATGCCATGTTCCCGGTGGAGGCGAAGCCAAACGAGACCATCATCAAACAGGGTGACGACGGGGATAACTTCTACATTCTCGACTCCGGCACAGTTGACGTAAGTTCGCTATCATTGAATAAGCCGAAAATCAGCGGAGCTCATCATCGCATGCGAGTGCACCGAATCGATTTCTGTACCTCAATCGCGTGAAGTGATTTCACGGGGCTCGGCTCGAACAAGCGAGCGACGGTCTCAGATTATTATTATCATCAGTGATCCCGGCGACATTAGCTCCGGCATGGGTGTCTGTCTCTAGAGTATTTTCGACGCCAAGGTTTAGTCAGTCACACGACCGACGCTGCCGCGGATCAAGGTGCGCGTGATGTTCCCAAGCGCGTTCATCGCTGCATGACCGCATGTTCGCGCGGATGAGCAGCAATCACTCGATGGCTTCGCCGACTAAGGTAGCCTGAGACCATGGAGCCGAAGTTGACATCGATTTGGGAACTTGCGCGCTACCTCGCAAACAGGCCGCTTAGCAAGCAGGCAGGTTGGTGGCCAGGCGAACGGCTTGCTCGACTGACTGGGTAATTGTTCCGCCGCACCGATGGCTGCCAGCTCGCCTGCGACGCTTCTCGCTGCGAGTATCGCGACCATATCCTGGGTATCGGACACGGTAGAGATGACGCGAATCGTCAGCGATTCTCGTTTCGAGCGCAGAGCTTTCTCTTGACCTTTCGATCCCTCGAAGGGAGGATGCGCTCTTTCTCAGCGCAAGCCAGGACATCGCTCCGATCGAATCATATCCCGAATCAGTTTATTGGCGAAAGACTCGTGAGGGCACGAGAGAAAAAAATTCAACCAAAGCGGCTGACGAAATGATTTTCCCATTGCGGAAACTCGCTCTTCTCAGACTTTGGGGATGAGTTATGTAACTAGACAGATGGAGGCATCACCCTTGGAGATCACAGGAATTCTGTCGTCCTTCGAACAGATATTCGTCAACGACCGACTGGTGACATCCCTGGTCGACGTTGGAAGCTTTGGAGAACTGGCCCTTATTTACGGCACGCCGCGTGCAGCCACTGTCAAGGCGAAAACAGACGTCAAGCTATGGGCCATCGATCGAGACACCTACCGAAGGATCCTCATGGGCTCGACGATTCGTAAACGGAAGATGTACGAAGCATTCCTTTCCAAAGTGAGTACTCGCCACCACGGTCCTGTGGTCGCTGACCTGGAATCTCCCTGATGTTGAGTAATGACTAGAAGAAGGTATTTGAGTAAAAATAGTGGTCGTTCTCGCTGCTCCCGCCAAGCGAACGAACACCCGTGAAACCTAAATTGATGGCGAATAACGAACACCGTAATGTTTGTGTATAACTCTTGTTTCCGATGTCAGGTTTCTATTTTGGAATCACTCGATCAGTGGGAGCGGCTCACCGTGGCCGACGCTCTCGAACCTGTCACCTTCCAAGACGGTGATGTTATTATCGAGCAAGGCACTGCCGGTGACGATTTTTTCATCATCGAAGAAGGTCAGGCCGAGGTTTTGCAGCGCAGAGGACCCTCGGAACCTCAAGAGAAAGTCTCGGAGCTCGGGCCGTCCAACTACTTCGGTGAGCGGTGAAATGAATAATTATTGGTGAAAATCATCTCGAGTCAAACTCCGACGGTCTCTCTCCTGAACTCCTCACCGATTCTCGTATTTTCGAAACGAGTCATGAAGTCAATCGTGTCTCCACAGGTGAAATCGCTCTGCTCTACGACCGACCGCGAGCAGCTACTGTCAAGGCCCGTGGTCCCTTGAAATGCGTCAAGTTGGACAGGTCTCGATTCGAGCGCGTTCTGGGCCCTTGTGGGGACATCCTCAAGAGGAATATGACCCACTACAACTCGCTGATATCGTTGTCCCTCTAGGAGAGCCACAGATTCACAAACGGCAGACGGCAAACGTGAAGGAAAGCATGCGACGGAAGGGGGAACAAATCAGCTACCTAATCTGAACGTCACGGCAAAAGTAACGGAGTGGAACAGTTTTTTTTCGGAAGGAGAACCATAGCACATCAGACCAAATCCAAAGGGGGAACGTCGAAAAACAAGGATAGATACCAAGGATCATAAAGAGAACGTCGTAGGAATACTGGAGTTCAAGATCAACATGCAAAATCTGAGACGGTCTGTGAGTCAACAAAGCAACCAACCAATCAACCAGCCTGCCCTTATGCCACCCTGGTAGAAGCCAAACCTTTTACTGCGATGCAGATATCACACACCAGGGCTCGACAGTACGCCAGCTGCCGATCATTCGAAGCTCACGTTCAACTCGCGCGATGCAGGAGAGAGGGAACGACCCACAATTAACTTTAAGGCATTTTTACGAGACGTTCCGATACAAGCGAAGCGTTTGCGTGTCGATCGGTAGCTAGCGCGAATCGACTCTGCACTTTGAGAGAGATGTTCACTGTGACCAAATTCCGGCGGCGTCATCCACAATTATTGGTAATCCGAAGCCTTTATCCGAAAGAACGTCTCTCGTTTAATAGAACTTATCATGCCGACGTAGCTAGCTGCATAGTTGTCCTTGCAGATGGCGACATCTGTTTACTGCAAAACCCCAACGTACTCCGTGTCGTCTGCTCCTTTGAACCGAATGCCGTCAAACGACTGTCGAGCAATCGCTGTTCAGAAACGTGACCGCCGAGTACGGAAGACGGGGACAGAAAGCAGATCGCGGTGAAATGTTGGAGAAAAAACGCTCGTGCGCAAAACACAATTATCAAACAACCAAAAACCAGTGAATAATGAAACCTTACGATAATAAACGGATTGCGCTGGAAGCAACTCGAATGTTCGCATCAGCTCCTCCTGATTGCGGCATCGGGTGTACGTACGCGGAGATTCGGACGCCTCGGTCGATTGAAGTCAAGTCAGGCATATGATATTCATAAGGATGACGTCACGCGATTCCATTCATGATGATGAAGGTTGATGATTGACGAATGAAGCTCGAAGGATGCTGGGATGTGCGCTGAACAGATTCCGGCCGATCATGCCGTATTTATTTCTAGTGGTCTAGATTGGTCCTCCGCTCGCTTTTTCTCTGGGAGCGATCTAACGCGAATTTCCATCTGCTGATCGGAGATTACCGCTTGATATGATGATGGTGAGAGTGATTGAGCCGAGCTGACAGCCTGTTCGTGAGTTGGTTCATCGATGACCGATATTTCCCCAAAACGAGTCATAAGCCCCTTGCGCGAGAACAAGAGAACATTAGTTGAGGATAAGACGAACACACCCCCACACACACACAAACAATTCTTAGAATACACGTTCACTCATCGTGACACACCGACCATTTGGTGAGCTCTCTCATTGCACATGGAAATATCGGATTTGAGTTGTTTTCAAAATTCAAGCCACCAATCCCCTCTCGTTCCTCCCATGCATCCCACAGCAGGGATTTCTCATCTCATAAGTCAAGTTCCGGAGGTGATCACGGAGAGCGGAAAATTCACGTCGGGATCGAATGAAGCCCCTGTAGCGCGAATCGAGTTCCGCGACTGGCGAGACGTGCGGTCGCGGCATATGCCATCGTTCTCGGTCCCTTGCACGATTGCTACCGGGAATCCTTGTGGAGAAGTCTCATTTCGAAACCCCGGTGAAAAGTCGTGTGTTCACCTGGACTCTCGCACCTCATTGGTCCTCAGCGACACGATTAGCGCATCGAGCGCACTCGCGTCGGAATTTCGGATTCCGGTTTGCTGCTGGGACATTCATCGCGTACGTTTCGGTTTCCCCTTTTCGCTCCCCCGGAATCACACTCGCGTATTCTTTACGGCTGCGAAGCTCCTCGCGGCTCAGCGCCGAACCAGGTTATGATGAATGGACGAATAGTGTTCACGGTTTCTTGCAAACAGGTTCAGTTGTTGCTTCGAATGAAGTGAGGAAGAGACCCCAATGCTGAAGCAGGTGAAGTCGAACACAGCCGAAGCACCCTGAGTGACTGTCTCCATCTGTCTGTATATACCTACCCAATGAGAAGACACAAACAAACAGGAAAAATTAGGAGAGGATACAGAAAATCGAAACAAATCAAATCGTCGATATGGATTTAGTCAGGTTGAACTTTCCCTGATTGAAGATTGGCAGAATGCGAAATAAACCGAACCTGTTAAGCTAAAGATTTAAATGCCTCGTGTTCTTTTCATCATCTTCGGCGGTCGATGGTGCCAGGCTGCGGGACTGTTTTTTCATTTTTAGATTGGCATTCACTCTGTGGGACATATCGAATTGGCGGGAAAATTCCGGTGAAAAATGCTGGTTTGGGAAGTTTTGAGTGTATCGTCTCTGGGGACTTAGACGATAAATGATCAGAGACCGATTGGAGGATCTTCACCCGGGTGGGAGTCGGCAAGAAAATAGGTTCAATCTCGACCGATGCGCGAGCATGTCGACAGCTCTACCTCGCGACCTCCCCGCTCGTGGGCTCGTCGGAGACAGCTTCGGGGAGGTGGGCCCGACTCTCGCCCCGAATCACGACAGCCTTGGTAAGTCATTCGACATTCATCAGGTGTTGCCGTCCTTTTCCCCCTACCCCCCGATTTAATCCAAGTTCTCCAAAATACGAAATATATGGAATCGGATCGGTGGATTCCATTGAGCATTTCGTCATCCGTCGAGATTCATGCTGACCAGTCTGGAGCGGTCTCCGATGTTCCGCTTGATTGACGTGGACACCAATTGCGTGTATGAGGGGGGTCGAGGAGGGCATGCTCCCTTCGATTGTCCGCATCCGTACATCTAGCTCTATGGGAATAAACATCATCGTTGTGCCCCCCCCCCCCGGGAAACCTTGCTGCCCCCTCGAAGAAAATTCCTGTATACGCCCCTTCTCGGCACTGCAACGGTGACTGACCGAGCGAACGAACGCCTGCGACTGGTTGCGAACCTCACCGAAGGACCCCAACGGCCCGCCGCTGTTGCTCCCGGAGCACGGGAGAATAGTATCCCCGACCTTTCAGGGGTATACACTGGGCGACGAATACACTGGAGCGTTCCTCGGTGAACAGGAGCGACCGACCGGAGCTGTATCTCCAAACTGAAGATCAAGTTTCCGAGCGAACTCTTAGATGGGGCACGGAGTCGATTACCTCGATGGGAAGTGTTGCGGCTCGCTGAAATGTGTCTCCTTCAATTTCTCTGGTTGGACAGGCGACTCGTCTCGCCTTACACGCGCGACTGGAGGATGTCTGGGAGATGATATATGCAGATGCTGGAGGAGCGAGGTCTATTGATTTCTCCAATTTCACCAGCTATAGCGTTATTTTCAAGACAATTCTCATCGGGGAGGAGTTGATGGACGAAAAATATTGTTTTACATAAATAGTACTTTTATTGTCGTTCTCATCAATCAATGCAATGCTTATAATGATCGTATAAAACAGTTTATATGTTCATGATGGTCCCCTTTCGATCGCCGAAGCGCATCCTGCGATGTAGTGTCGATGCCGGGAAATCCGTTCGGAGAAAAATCTGTGTTCCCCTCCCCACAGGAGGGACGCTCGCTGAGCGGTCCTCGATACGATTAGAAAAAAATGTTCAGGAGTAGACACGTAATGACCAGTGTGATACGAACAATGCGTCAGGTGAACGAAGATTGCGCCGGTGAATCGGACCATTCGTTAGCTGAACAAACGATGATGATCGCGTTCTCTAATCATTTTCCCTCTCTGCGAGGACATATTTTGTGAAAGTGTTTGAGCTCCAAACGCTCGAGAAGCTCGAGCATCATCTTGTCTTTCCTTTGAGTTTGCATCGGTGAGCGTTGGTGCGAGTCGATCAGGCGGTCGCTGTACTTATTCAGAAACGTCGATCAATGATCTCTATCTGTCGCCAATCAACGTTTCGGTGTCACAACTTTACTGAAAATTCCAAGAGTAGCTGATTAGTTCGTAGGCTCCATTCTGAAGTTGGGAAACGATCCGACGGATCTCCCCGAACGATGATTTAGTGCGGAATCGATGCGCAGCCGTGCATAAAAGTTTCCCGATGGCGAAGTCCACGGGATGGATATATGGGGGGGCATGGGTAGGAATATATCAACACGAGGCAGGCAATGGAATGTCCGTCGTGTTTGCAACGGAAAGCAGTCCATGTCGACGGAGAAAAAAGATTGAACAGAAGAAACACAAAATAACTTCAGCATATTTTACGAGGTTTTATTTACATATTATTCCTTGTTACGGTAATGATCTGAGTATTATCGATACTAGCTGTCGTGGTGTTCGATACATAACAAAAAGTGGCAAACAAAATAAAATCCGGCGGTACGTGACCCACGGTACGGAAGCGTGCCTGAGCAGCTCCGTATAATCTCACAACTCAGGAGAGCATGGGTCTCAGAATAAATGTACATGTTTATTATCGTTCGTTCGTTGGGTCGTACGTTCGTTCGTTCCTCTATCCCTCGGTCGGAGTTGTCACGGATACGTTCATATCTTCCTCGGCAACTATTCCCAATACTTACAGTGAGCGGACGACGACATGTGGAAATAGGTGAGGATGAGCGTAGTAGGGATCCGAGGGAGAGAAATCTTTGTTTGTAAACTTCCATGAATAGGATTGACAGATCCGTTCACAGCCGAGTAATGGTACAAGGGAAGCTGAGACGGATGAGTGATAGTGGATGAGGTGAAGGATGATGGCATCGGTGACTGTACGATTGATGAATTCGTGGTGATCCGGTTCGAAACATGAAACGTGTCTCTTTGGCTGCGTAATCAGGGTGCTTGGAGTTACCTCACTGATAAGCATCGATTACTTAGTTATAAAACTCTGGGCTGTCAGTGATTTCCGAGCTTTGCGAGATCCATCTCGAAATCGAATAGTGCTTGATGGATTTTGTTGACAACATAGAGTTGTTGAACTTTGTCATGAGTACGAATCCGCTCTCCGATGTAGTTGACGAAGTGATCGATGAAATCTTTCTCTGTATCTTTTTCACATCCACTGTCTTGATCCGAATTACTGTTCCTGGTGAAGAAGGAGACTGGTCTTAGAAGATGCGCGGGGAGAAAGTAGGAAGAGCGAGCCGGGGAAGAGAGAGCAGGCTCTGATGCCACCGATTCGAGACGCGGGAAATATCCCGAGCGATTCAAATTACGTCATTAGGTATTTGTATTTCCGAAAAGCAAGAATCGGTACTTACTTCCGCTTCTTGGCGGGTGGGGCCGGCGCTGCTGATTCGCAGGCTTCCGATCTCTTCAGAGCTTTTGGGATTGGGGCTGTGTTTTCCTTATGAGAATTCAGCGAGTGATGGGATTGAGCATCTGCGCCGGACGAAGTGGATGCAGCGTCATCACGGTCGATTTCTTGGTCGTGGTCGTGATCGTGATGATCGTCGTCCTGATCGTCTTCGATGTGAGTCTCGGCGACCATGAAGTCGGCTGCAATGATTTCGTCCTTGTCTGAACCGGGCTCGGTGGCTTGACTCGTGTTGAGACTCCTGTTCATCGCAACTTGATGCAGCGCTGCAGTGTAAAGCTGAGCCGCATCGGCGAAGTTTATCGTAGTGATCGGAGACGCCGATCCGGGCGACGTTGGCGCTTGTGGCTTCGGAGAAGATTGTACACTGATGTTGGCAGCCGAATAGTTTTTGCACAGCATTCCGTGCAGAACGTCGAAGAACTTCCACGACGGCTGGAAGTGCTCGCCTCGAGCCTGACGGACCATGACTTCATTGAGGATGCGTTTGTACCGGTCCCGAATGTGAGTCCATTTTTTCACCATCTGGGGGCCGGTCATGCCGTACCTCGCTCCGATTTCCGCCCATCTGAAGGAAGAAGGCACAGCGTTACACTACGATTCCCATCGATACGGAGGAGGTCTCCCATGGATCTCGTAAAAGGTTTCATGTTCAGAAAGAAAACCACGAGAAATCTTACCGAGCGTCCTTGATGTGACTGTCGCGATATAAGCGATGATATTTGTCGAATAAATAGGGGCTGGATTTCACCAACTCGATGAAATCCTCTACCGAGTAATATTTCTCAGGATTTCCCACGAAATCCTTCTCTTTGGTCAGCTTCAGCGGGGTCTGATTGCCTTCGTTCAGGGGGATCAAGGATAACGATCCGTTGAAGCTCGAGTTGAGCGAGGCGTTCAAACTGTTTTCGAGTTTGAGCTTATCGTTACCGTCGACTGGTTTCGGATCCATCGCTAGACCGGGGAACGCAAGTCCCAACTGTTTCGCCAAACTTGGGATGATCTGTAATCGAGAAGAGGAAAATCGTCAGTTACCTGCTGAGCTCTTTCATGTAAATATCGATAGGGAGCCGCCGACGGGCTGGAGCAGGGCGTTGACGGAACTCCGGGGAAAAGAGAAAACGCCGAGGCCGCTTGACAAGGATCGCTCCTCGAAAGGAAAACTTCAAAGACTCGTTTCGCATTCGTACACTGTCTTGACTCAGAGGACGGCACCGCCGAAAGAGCGAACAGCGCACGACGTAGAGCTTCTACGAGATTGGATGTCGTCGTCTAGGCATCGTTGTTGTTGTCGAGAGTTGACTCAGAAAGCGTTCAGGTGTCGCGTTCTTTTAGTCGACGGGCCGGGAGAGATTCTAGAGAGTCGAACCGTGGGTCGGGCGGGCGCATGGTCTGCTCGTCGCCGTCCGCACGGTCGGCCAGCGGCCGCTTTGCCAGAGTTCGGCTCTGCGTCCTGACTGCATCAGCCAAGTGTCCGCAGCCGCCACGGACCGAGCGACTGTCGGGCTGACCGAACGGTGCGTTGGTCGACGACGCGCTCGAATAGAGCAAGTTTAGCAAAAAGACCCGATGTCCCGTTCTTTGGCTGCTGCTCCTTCTTCTGGGTCTGTTTGACGACTGTCGGCTGAACGACGAAGCGACGGACCGTCATGGGCCCCCTCCCTCCGCTTGCGGCGCCGTACTCGTCGTTCTCCGAACTCGAGCGCCAAACCGAGCAGCAGCGATCCAAGTAAACTCGACTGGTTGGCTGGAAAAAGCTGGCGACCGACGACGGTGTAACAAGCGTGGAGAATGACGGACTACGACGCCACCCGAAAACAGGCGATCATCCTCGCCGCCGCCTCCAGCCCACGAAAAACCGAGAGACGCAGCCCTCAGACCCGTTCCCTCCGGCAGCAGCCGGGAAAGCAAACGCCTAAGCAAGCGGTACGAGAGACCAGCCGCTTTTCTTGTCGTCGACGGCTTGCTTGTCGGTGGGTCTTTTGACCGAACGACCGACCGACCGACCGACCGGCCGAGCGGCTGGTTCGGACTCTAAGAGAGCGTAGCTGTGGTGTACCAGAAGAAGGCCTCCCGTCCTCTACCGAACAGCAAGCAGTCTCTGTCACGCAGACGCATTCGCTGCTGCTGGGGCCAGGGCCGTACCCGGTGCCAGCCGCGTTTCTGGTTTCTAAACGCCAAGAGATCTACCATCATCGCTGGCAGCACCACAACCTCTACGACAGCGACGACGACCACGACGACTTCCTCTACAGACAGAACAGCGGACGCTCGAAGCGACGGGCCTGCCGGGCGACCGACCGACCGAACAACCGCCAGACGGGCCGGTCGGCAGGGTCCCCGCGAGCCGAATCAACGCAACGAACCTGACGCGGTCCAATCTATTATTAGCCAACTACTACCAGAAGAAGAGTCTCGACGGTCCCTCGACGGCGTTCAAACTCAACTACGGATTCTGTTTGTCGTAAGGCTTAAGCTCAAAATATTTCAAACGACCTGAACGCACACCGGAGCCAACTTCTGTCCTCTCCGTAGTCAGCGAGACCACCACCGGCTCCTCCGCAAGCGGCGTGACCGATGCTCGCTGCAGAGGTATCTGAGACCGCAAATCACACTCACAAAGCAAAATCGAAGATCCGTGTACGCGACCGCTTCCACTGACGACGTCGCTGAAGACTGACCGGCACTGAAGATTCCGGAGTTTTTCATGGACTTCGCCGCCGCTGCGAGAACTCTCGCCCCTGCCCCACGACCCACCCCGTATCTTAGATAGCCCCCCGATCGGGGTGGAGAGCGTGATCGGAATTCGAAATCGGAGCGCTCTTCCGGGGTGCGGTGCACATTCCAGAGAGTACCGATCTATTATCGCGACCAACTCCGGCCGGATTCTTGAATTCCGAACTCAAATCCGGACCGTGAGAACCGAGAGCGGCATCCTCATTAGCGAAAAATCGCAGCGTGTGCGCTTCGCACTTTTCAGAATAGCTCGTGAGTCGAGAAAAAAGCGTACGCCGAAACGAAAAACGCCCGCTCAACCCTCATCGGCTCCGGTCGAGGTTTTGTTTGCAGTTTGCTGATTGGCTCTCGCCGTACGCGATCGCGGTGGGATAGAGGTCGTGATGCATTGCCTTGGGCTCCGACTCAAACTCCATGTTGACGCGACCGACTCCAAGTACGGAGCCCATAGGTCGACGGATGGATGAACAGATGGCGGGACGGGACACAACTCACTAAAGCGAGGATGAGAAACCGAGCTCGCGAGCGAACCGTCGAGCGAGCGAGCGAACCAACGAGCGAGCGAACGAAGGAGCTCCCTCATGAACGAACAAGAGGGACTCTCCGTGCCGGAACACCTGGCTGGTCGCCTACCACCACCACCAACAACGCTGCCGCCGTTTCCATCATGATGGCCTTAGCACGCTCTACCAAATCCTCAGAAAGGGGACATCGGAGGGAAAGCAAGCGCCGATGGGGTGGGGGTGAAGCACCGATGAGAAATGACGCTTGCACGATTTTTGCATCGCCGCCCAGCCCAGAGGCTACGCATAAAACCCCGCGTGAAGGGGCCGCTTGCGACGCACCTCCGATGTCCCCCCAACGGAGGCTCCTAGGATGTCTTCCATGAGCTTCCGAACGGTCCAAATTGAACGGACACGTCGGATAGCCACAGACATGATTCCTTGGAGCAATCCACAACATTGAGAGGCATAGATGAAAGCGAGCGGGAATCCGGTCCGAGTTGGATTCCTCGGCGCTGAGAACTGGTTCAGGGGGTATTCACCGACGACGAAGTCTTCTCCAACTGAGTTGCCGGTCTCCTGGAGGACTTCGTCCGCCCGCAGAGCACCTCCTGAATCAGTTCTCGAAGTAGAAGAACAAGCTACATACCTCAATTATAAGTTCGGCCAATATCGGAATAATCTCCGCCATCAGAGCAGTATCCTCCGCCATCGGAGCAGTATTCTCCGCCATTGCAGTAGTATTTTCGGCCATTGGGGTAGTATTTTCCGAATTTCTGCGGGATCTACTGAAGATTCACTAGCACGGCGAGCGTACTCACCGTATCCGAAGACTTTCTACTCGATATGGGCAAAAACTCCAGATTTATATATCATGGCTATCACCATGAACGCGTGAGGGTGTGAACCCCCTCCCTTCCAAAAACGGTATCCGAGATGGGTTCACGCGCATTGCACATCTCAATAGCGAATTCCTCAGCTCTCTTCCGCTTTCAGAAGTCGCGGAATAGACATTCTTGAGGGGCTTGATTCCGAAATCAAAGCCGCAGAAGCTGTAGAGCCGCATCGAGGTGGGGTTCAGACACCGTAGTACGGGGAGGCCAGTGATACGAATTCCTGATAAGCTTAGATAGAGAGGGCGAGTGGCTCACCCTCGATCATCAGAGTCGAGTCGGATGAGACGGAATTCAACGGAAATCCAGCTCATATGTCTGACGTCGAGGGAGTCCGCTTTTCCAGCATGAGCCGTTTCCTCGTGCATTTCCTCAACGGACGCCAGAAGAGACTCTCAGACAGATTGACGGCCAGTAAAAACGATTCAAACAAACGAGCTCATTTCGATAGAAAAACAGCAACTCGACACCGAAAGCGGTCTCGAATGTTGCCGTCTTCCTTAGTTGAGAATTACATCGTAAAGCATACATAACATCGACAGTGGGGCTGCTCACTGTCACGAGAATTCATTTACTGAATGGAAGTTTTGCGAAAACTCGACGTATTTGCCTCGACGATACCCTAAATGTTCGAAATGTCTTGAATCTCGACCATGGATCAGGTGACAAACCCGGCCGCGAGGAGCCCGTCGCTTCCACAGACTGCGAATTGAATGCGTTGCGGTCTCCGGAAGCTTTCATGCCAAACGAATATCGCCGATGTCCAACAAGGGGGAGCGGCGTAGATTTTCGAGCCGCGATCATCGAGTTTCGGCAACGTCGCGGGACGGGCTCAATCGATCAGAGGGGGGGGATCGGATTTTTTCTGTTTACGTTCTTTTATTCTTTAATCTGGAGATCGCACATGGAAGATTTCACCGGGGCATCGGATCGTGGGCGCCCAGAAACTTCCGGGAGGTCGCTGAGCGCGTCAGCTGTCGTTGCCGACTACTCGAGAATGTTTCTCTGGGAAGCGTACGGAAATCCCCATGAACCATGGTCGGATATCGAGCAACCGGCCGCTCCAGGTCAACGGCTGTGACAGCGAGCGACATTGACATCGACTCCTACAGCAACTTCAACGGAGGAAGATTGAAACCGGGCAGAGCGAGAGAGCGAACGAACGAAAAAAGCAGCGATTCAACGAGATGGGAGATCGCCGCATCTGTCGTTGTGCAAAAACCCACTCGCCGGTCTCACTGTGTACAGTGGTTGATGCCGGTTTTGAGCGGCTTGTCGGGAACCAACTCTGGGAACTCGGACTGGTCTGCTCTTCAGGCCTCCGTCAGCGGAGGTTGTCGTCGTCAGGCTCGTTATTCTGTTGCCGCTGGCAGCGGCCGCACGCTGTATTGTTGAACTGCAGGCGGTGCTGCTGCGGCTGCGGCGTCGTCCTCTTCAGCGAGAGACGACCCGATGAAACTATCGAACAGCGATCGTCCGGTAGATGAACGACGTTCGTTCTGAGGAAGTTCGTTCCCCGCTTTCTCGGTTCTTGTTCCCGTACCGTTTCGTATTTCGGTTTGTTTGTTGTATACGACGGTCTTTCGATGCGTCGACCGTAGCTCGAAATCTCTCTAACAAAGAGTTTCGACCCTAGAGCGCATTCCTCTCTCGCCGCCTCGCCGAATTCCGCCCCACGCCGCGACTGACGCTCGAGCGTATGAACGTACGCGTCATCGCCAGGGTCCGGTTCGAGTCCAATTTGGTCTCTTTTTTTCTAGAAACCCCCTCGATACCCCCGATCGGACTCGGCTCCGAGGAATTTCCGGAAACAAGTCCAGATCTGCCATCCAACCCATTTTGGATACGATCTAGAAGCGATCCGAGAGTTCATATTATTCATTGGTGAAGTTTCGGAGCCGCAGTCGATCAATGACAGCGTTCACGATGATCTGTCGCTGCTCGAGGATCTCCGGAGGTTCCGATCATCGGTCGTTCAAGTGGAAGTGCGCGAAGGCGATTGCCTCCTGCTCATCGAGTCTGAGGATTCCGTTGCCGTGCAGAGCTTCTGGAGGCGGTCGGCGAACCGAGCGGTCTCTCGGTCGAGAAGCTGCCTTGCTTTCGGCTGGTCTTTCGAAAACGAACGACTGAGCGGCTGACGGGCGAACGCGCGAGGAGATGATGTTGACCGTTACTAAAACGGTCGTCGGTTTGCGTGTGGGCTTTGCTCAAAACCCGCTGCCTGCCTGCCCGCCGGCCCGCCCGTCTGCCTGCTAGTCCGTCCGTGTTCCCGCTCGCTTGCTGTCAGTCCCGCTGGCCCGCCTTCCTGCACCGGCCACCGCAGCCGCCCGGGGCATCGGCCCGCAGTGGCATGACTGCGGTCGGTCGGTCCGTCGGCCGGCTGCCGGGCCGCCAGGTCGGCCACAACAGGTCGACGGTTGCAGCGGCGGCGGCGGCGGCGGGAATCTTCTCACTCGTCTTGTTGCGCACTCGACGCTTGTTCGGCCGCGCCATCAGCCCGAGGTGTCCTCGCTATTGACTGGCCTACCGGGCGAAACACCCTCCCCATACACGACCCAGCCGGTGAATGGTCTGCCGTGTGCATTACCCATCTCCCCCGTCTTCTCGTTTCTCTCCTCGAACCCCTCGGACCCTGTTCTCCCAGGGATAACCCGAAATAACTTGCACGCCATGACGCCCGCCAGCACGAAGGAAAGCAGTCCGCCGACTGCTTGACTGGCTGCTCGATTCAATGCGGCTGTCGCTCGGTGGTCTTTCGGTTCCAGCTTTCGTTCGTTGAATTCGTACCGCGAAGAGTAGAATTAGAAACTCTCTTCCGGCTTCTCGAGCTCCCCAGTCGTCGCGGCGAGCTCATCTTCGGTGCTCGACCCGTGATTGCCGAAGGCATCACTCTCGACGGTCCAAACTCACAGCGTGTTCCGCTACGAACGGATTGGAATAGATACCTCCGAGTCGCATGGATATCGACCGAGTCGACGAATTTCGTCTGAACATTGTGGAGACTTCGTCTGCGATTTGAATCAAATCTCGTTGAGACGCGAATATTGATCAATCCGCAAGACAATTTCATTTTCTCGACGAAGAAGTAAATACATAAAGCCCGTCGGATGCGTCATCCGTTTCGTCGGTGAATATTTTCCTGAACGTCCGGTCTCCTCAACGATGTTTCAATATGCATCGGGGGACGTCAGTAAGTCGAGCAGACGGGAGCCGAACAGCAGTCAATCGGAGGCACCCTCATGTTCTCGAATGTCCAACACGACGATGCTTCGAGACGATGACAACCCCGGAGACGGAACATGTTCACCAGCCCGTGGTGGTGTTTTCTAGCCAACGAACGCGTCCTCTTCCCACCGCGCGTCGGAGCGACATGCGTGAGCTCAGATTTCGGTCGGGCGATGCCGGACGGAGGGGCGTCCTCGGAGCCATGCCCGTGGAACAGGCGGACGAACGCACCGGGAACGCTCCGGTTTTTCGGCGAATGGGAGGTACTGAATTCCCGCCCGGGATGGATGTCGAGCAAGAAGAGAAGCAAGCGAGCAATGAGGCGTTGATTGCAATCCCCTCTCTATTCTCATTCCCCCGTAACAGCCCCCTGACCCGCCTCGTCCCGATTCCACCTCCCGCTCGGTAATCCCCCTCCCTCCCTCCGACCCCCGTTCCCAGCGTCCTTCCTGACTGGCTGGCAAGCACGCTCTATCTACTGACGCTGCTCGTCGACCAGTAGAAGGAGCGTCGTCCTCAGCGCCATCGGCGGCACCAGACAGACTGCTTGTCTGCTCACCGGGCGCTGCCGCCGCCGCCGCTTGCTAGAGCGGTGTACGGAGCAGTAGATGCACCAGCGGCAGCTGCAGCCAGGACACAAGGATCAGCGGTAAAAGGAGAGCGGCAGGCGGGCGGGCGGGCTGTCCCCATCGAAGTCGCGCGATACCCCGCCGTGTTCCCCCGACTGCTTTTTCTCTCGGTCTTTCTACTGCGGCGGCGGCGGCGGCGGCAGCGGCTCGAAGGTCGCTCTCCCCGCACGCAAGCAACGTATGACTCACCCACTCCCGCCAACCCCACCCGCCGCCGGTCGCCCGCCAGACCGGCAGCCCAACTGCCCGGTCGCGGGAAACGGGACAGAGCGGCGGCGGCGTTGGTGGTTGTGCTGCTGCTGCTACTGTCCTTAGAGGTGGGACGGAAGAACCTTAGGTCCAACTCATTGTGAACGACCGAGCGAACGAGAAACCGACCTCTACTTTCTCTGAGACCGCTCTACTGATGGCAGACCACGCATGAACCGTTATGCAGAATCGTCGGCGGAGACAATAATTTTTTTTCAGAGCGAAACCGGGGGGGAGCCCGCCTGACGCCGCGAATATTACGGAAAAACGCAAAAGCGTTGCGATCTATCCCAAAGACGATTTTGCACTCTAAGTATACCCACTATACGTATACCTATGCGGAAGCGTTTCTGGTCGTTTTGCTGGATGAGCCGCGGGATCTCCGATCGCCGCGGCATTTTCCCCGGGGAAAATGTCACCCGAGATATCGGATACGGCGAAGATCGAGATTTCCGGAGGTCATCTTTGAGCTCGGAGGCCACCCTCCAGAAGTTTCTTAAGCGTTTCTGCCCCGCGGAAGATCGGTATCCACAGCTGCGGAGCTCTTCAGACTCGTAGATGGCTACTTCGGAATCGTACGTCCATCCGTGGGGTTGGGGGATGGCACTCCGCCGTGCCCGGAGACTCGCTCACACGAAAGAATTTCCTTTCAATCTATCTGTCTAGCTATCTATCCACATACCGATTATTAGTGAAAATCTCCACAAGGAGGAGATGTAAGTTCTGTTACAAGGGAACCTCGACGATGACACCAAGCGGCAGACGGACGGGAAGAGCGGCCGTGCTTCGACTCGAGCCGCGCCAATTCTGTATGTATTGTAGTTTCGAACATCCGTCCGTCCGAGCGGCCGACCCCGCATGCCGCTAAGAGACAGCAGCGAGAGCGGCATCGGCGGCGGCCGCAGCAGCAGCGGCCGCAGATCCAAAGGCAACCCAAATGCAGTGAACGAGAGAGTGAGCTACCGGGAGGCTGAAAGAACGAGTGCGCTAGCTCTCGGTGACTGGCCGGACGGCTGGCTGGCTGGCAGTCGGTCGGGCTAGCGGGTGAGTAAGCGAACTCCGAGCTCCGCGAGAAGCTTGAGGCCACGCTCAACGGAAACGCCGCTCGCTCGCTCCCTCGGTCTCTGTGCATTCTCTCCGAACATCTGGACTGAATCCATTCGAGAAAAGCAAGCGTAGAGGCGCCTCGGTGGACGATTTTCGGTGCTTTCTTTTCGAAACAGAGACCGCCAGCCGAACCTGCGACCGCAGCAGAAACTAAGTCTGCGACGACTAACCAAGCGGGCAGGCAACGGCCGACCCACCGACAGGACCCAGACGACGGGCGACATTCTTCAACAGCAGAAGAAAAAGCGCTGGGAACGACGTTTGCCGAACAATGATGACAGTCGCGCAGATCAACTGACAAAACCCGGACTGGTCGACCTCCAATCCCTTGTACTGAGGGACGGACGAATCGGCGGTCGGTATGTCCGTGTCGGTCGATCGGTCGGGCGATCAGGCCGATCCGTCGATCCGTCTTCGGGGAATTTTCGGGCCGGCCGTGCCCGTCTTTCTGTTCACTTGCATGCAACGTGCCGAAATCACGTTTCCGCAAGCCGAAAAGCGCGAGGGATCAAAACGCCGTGGAGCATGTAATGCCGGTCTTCAACGAATCGGATGAAGACTGTCTTGACACTTCGGACGTAATTCGAGCTCACGGCATGTTGCGAACGGAGCTCGAGAATGTCATCGAGAACATCGATGTGGGATGATAGACATCGACGAGGCGATCGAGCTATTCGTCGAGATTCCGCACGAAATCCGCTCATGAGGAGGTTGCCAGGCAGACACCGGGCCTACGGGACCCACCGCATGGCCTGTCTCCGGAGCTTTCTCTTCGAGAGACGACCACGTAAACGAAATGACAGTCCCCTCGGTCACCGGCTGTATGATCATTATCAACTAAAATTCCGAACATCGATGTCAATACCAAAGCACTCGCGCGATAAGAGCCGTCAAAGCACGCCGCATTGAACGTTCCCGCTCCTGAGCTCCTCCGTGTCACCGGAGGGAGGTCTGCCAGAAAGGAGACCTCTCCGGGATTCCTACGAGGTCACTCTCGTATTTGTCAAGACTCTCTCATAGCCAACGAGGAGTCTTCCTCGGAAGTCTACGCACGCGAAGCTCGCTTCCCAAGCCACCGGTTCTGAGCTCAGCGCTCTGAGGCTGTTGTCAACTGTTGACATTTCTCCAGACGATCATGGAAATTCCGGTGGAACGGAACACGAAAGCACGAAATGGGAGAGACAGATGTACTTACCGGGCTTATGGTGAGGTCGGGGAACATTTTTCGTGTTTGCGGAAAACTTCGTCGACGTCAACGTAACTTGCGCAAGTCGACGTGATCGACGATGGCCGCTGTCGCGTTTCAGATTTCGTGATGAAAATGACAACAACGAGGACGACGATGACTGTGCTGATAACAACGGCGGCGCGGAAGACGACGACGTCGATGACGGATACGCTTTGCTCCGAATTGGTAACGATGTCAACGATGGTATCTCACCACACCACTGAGTCAGGTAGTAGCTGCGGGAGGGGCGGACTCGCGATGAGTACAGTGCGATTTACAAAGCAGCGTAACTGACGCTCTTGCCTACTGGCAGAGTACGTGGGCAAGCGGGCGGGCGGGCGGGCGGTCGGTTGCCTTAACTGGCGGCGTGCTAAGAAGAAAGCGTGCGTGCTGCTCTGAGTACGCCGTCGACTCGAGGTTTCTCTACGGCGACCCGCGCCTCGGTCTCGGGGCTCCGTGAGTGGAGAGAATCTCGCTACCCTTACTCTCGACCAACCGTCCGCCGGCTTAGCAGCAGCACCATCATGCGCGCTCGCTCTGTCGGTACGAGGCAGGCCGATTCCCTTGCTCTCCTGTTCGTTGTCGACCGACCGACCGACCGGCTGACTGACTGACGGACAAACGAACGGACTCGCGAAGGAACGACCAACGAAATAGCGGACCGACCGACGGATGGGCTAGCTGCTCACTGACTGGCTGGCTGGCTGGTGACAGCGAGCGCATTGTAGCCCGAAGCAAGACTGGCTGTCGTTGCCTGCTTTCCGTAGCCAGTCTGCCCAGCAGTACCGATGTTTCCTTACTTACTCGCGCAGAGAGAGCGGGGGAGCTCAAATCAAGCAGGCAAGCGATCGGGAACGCGAGCCCAACAGACTGGCAAGCGGATCGACCGGCACACTAGCAGCGGATCGAAGCTCGTGAACGATCATCTTATCACTCACGGGAGCGCCGCTGTCGCGGCTCTGCGCTCCGCGATCCAGATCGATGTTCGAAAACCGCCGGATGCGCGCACGCCGAACGACCGAAAAAAAACGTAGAAATAATTAAAATTCGATCGGATCAGGGACGGGCTCGTGAGACGTTTTTCGGTTCTACCAGATCAGAGATTCCGTCACGTATTTTCCGCGGACTCGAGTTCGCCGTCATTGGTCGCAGAAACCCGCCGACCGCGGAGGACAGGCCGCGAACGAACACCGTGCGAAAGAGACACCGACAGAGGGACGAATCGAGCACCAAGTCCTATTCCTTCTCGCCCCACCGCCACGACGGACGGCTCGCTGGGGTAAAAGTCGGGAGAAGAGCAAACGATGCCAAAAATAGCTAAAAGACAGACCGACAGACGGATGAATAGTCGAAGAGAACGCAAGCCCAGAAGCAGAAACCCGCACTGACTGAGGTGGCGTGGCTTCATTTGGAGCTCGAGGAGCACAAAAGTGCGTTCAACGTCAGCCATCACGGAGTCTCTGAGCTTCTGAATTACCGAAAGGCCGTCCGCGAGGTCGATAAGGGGGGAAAGCGGATTCCACTCCGAGCGAGATGTGCGCGGGGGCTCGATGCGAGGAGCTCGTCATTCGAATTGGAAAAGCCGGCTGAACCTGTGGAATCGGCAAGGCTGTTCGGAGTGGGTCAATGTCGTCGGGAGCTCTATCGTCGCTTCACCAAAAACGATGTGCGCCTATTTAGGACAGTTGGCAATTCGAATGCTTGTCGTTCTTAGCCATTTGACGGGTGAGCAAGGAAGCAAGCTATCGATGAATCCAGTCCCTATCCCATCATCAATGTGTGTTCCTTTCTCTCCTGAAGGCACAC